TGAGAGTTCCCTGGACTGCAAGGAGAACAAACCTATCAATTCTTAAGGAAATCAACCCTGAGTGCTCATTGGAAGGAGAGATCCTGAAGCTGAGGCTCCAATACTTTAGCCATCTCATGAGAAGAGGAGATTCCCTGGAAAAGACCCTGATGTTGGGAAAGTGTGAAGGCAAGAGGAGAAGGGGACGACAGAGGATGAGATGGTTGGACAGTGTCATTGAAGCTACCAACATGAATAAGACCAAACTCTGGGAGACAGTGGAAGACAGTCAGGCCTGGCGTGCTCTGGTCCATGGGGTCACAAAGGGTCGGATACAACTTAACTACTAAACAACAAAAGGACCCCTATGGCCTGAAAATATTTTAAAAAGGGAAAAGAAAAACCTGTATCTATCCATATACAGTGGTGCCTCGACTTACAAACTTAATCCATTCCAGAAGATGGTCGTAACTCAAATTAGTTGTAGGTCGAAGTACCATTTCCCATAGGAATGCACTGAAACCCTATTAATCTGTTCTGACCGGTGGAAAAAATTGACCAAAAACAAACAAAACCAACCAGCAAGCCCCATCGGAACACGCTGCGGCCAACAAAAACAACACACCAAATAACAACAACAAATCGCAACACAGAAACATAACCTCCCCAGCCCAAACCCACCCTGCAAAACCCCGTATGTACTCACTCAAAAGCAGAAAGGAGCACCAGGCAGTCCGAAGCCTCCTCCGAACGCACACACTCTAACTGTTGGGGCGAACGAGATACAAAGAAGCAGCCTCTTCACCAACCAACAGTTAGCAATTTAAATTCCCGGCCTTTTTCCTCACCTTTTTTCTGACTGCAACTCAAAGCTCCGGCCACAAATCGAAGGAAAATTTTGTGGCCTGAGCTGGTTGTAACGCGAATTGGTCATAAGTTGGGACGTTTGTAAGTTGAGGCACCACTGTATATATATAACAATGAAGTTACTACAACTGGCCACTACAGGGAGTCAGAGACCATGCTATACAGAGAGGTTGCTTTCAAAATAGCATTCCCTGTGTTTTCAGCATCTGAACTGTGGGGACTTGGAACTGATCCCCCGTCAATATGGAGGGTCCTGCTGTGTGTAAATTTCAGCTATGAGAGCTTAACTGAATCTAAGCAGACATGAACTATGTGGACAGAGAGTCACTGCAAGCTCCAAAATGGAAGACCATGAGCTCCACATTTTATTTCACACAAAATCTAACATCATTTATTTAGAACATCTACATATCGTTTTTCAACTAAATGCTCCCCAAAGGGTTTTAGATAAAGTTGGGCACCAAACGAATCACAGCCTACATTTATCAATCAAGGCCTTTGAAACCAATGGCCACAATCTTCTTGGTGACTGGTGCAGGTGTAAGTTAAACTGCCCACCTCACGGTGTCGAAGGACCTAACAAGACGCCTGTTATGTAACAAGTACATGCCCAATAGTAAGACGATGCATGCCTCATTAGATAAGTGACCAACAAGATTCTGACCATTAGATCTTTAGGTATTGGAAGCATACTGAAGAAGGCCCCTAGGGAAATTTCTTTAGGAAAATTGTTCCCCAGAAGAAGCACAATACCTAAGAAAAGCTCACTATGACACCCAACTAGCCTCCCTTCTGTAAAGGGAGGCATACGCCTCCTCCTCCTCCTTTTTTTGTCTATGCAACCTCCACTATTTCAGCTGCAGAGGATTAGAGTCTGACTTGTAACCCCAGTGATTCCTTTATCTGGAGACAATTCTGAAAGCTCTTCCACCTCTTCCTGTCACCCTATGCAGTGTAGAGAAGGAAGTTCTCTAACACCCCTGCCATGGTATGACTGCAAATGTGAAGTGTTTCCCCCCTTCTGGTATTTTACCACTGTTTGTTCAGGAGCCTCAGATCGGTTCTCTTTTTCCTTTCCCAGCTTCCTCCTTTCTCATCCAAATTACAATTCAAACTTCCAGTTTCATCAGAAGGGAGCGAATCCAGAGCAAAGAGGGGAAGGAGAAGAAGAGACAATTGCACAACCAAAAGGAAGACTATTAAAGGGGAAAACCCCCACACTTATATAATGCAGTGAAAGGCAACAGAAGAACAAGCAAGCAGAATAGGGAGGTAACATTGTTGGCAGGGAGAAAAAAAGGAGGTTAATGATCAGAACAACATTGTAATATCAGAGGCATAGAAGAATTAAATGGTTCTCTAGCCTCTGTAACTAAGGATGGAAAAAAGAAGTTTAAAAGTTGAGAGTTAAGTGAAAAAAACCAACAGGTGCCAAAATAAAAAACAGTGCTAGGATTTCCTAGCGCAGTGGGTCCACATGTGAGAAGGGCAGGTGGTATCAGACTGTGTCCTACCCACTCACCCACTCACAGCAGGCGATGGAGGACAAAGAAATATCTTAGTTTAGTAACATTTCATTTAATAAAAGAGATCAGTCAAGAAGAATCAGGAAGAAGTCTGAAAAAGACAAGAAAGGAGGTGGTGAAAGATCTGTAGCAGAAATGCAGAATTGCAGATGGCTGGCATAAAAGTGACAGCTAACTTGGATCTCTCAAGAAAAAGAACAGAAAATCAAAAGTAGTAAACTGAAAGGTAAGAATGAAACCAAAAGAGCTCATCTCGCACAACTAAGATCATGTGAGAAAAAAATGAACAATGATCAATAGACTGAAAACAGGCAGTGAGAAAGCTTTAGGTAGTCCAAGAACATGGACAAAGAGAGCTACAGTTAATTATAATAAACATGACCAGAAGAGAAAGGGCGATGAAGAAGCAGCAAGCAAGAACAAGCAATTCCAAGAGAGGTCTACATTTATAGATTATTGCTGCATGAGAGTACAGCGAATTATATTGTGAGGAAGAGCAATTCAACATTCTATATGGCAATTCTTAAAACTGAGGAAGCCCAAACAAACAAACAAAAAACTTTTAAAGTGGATTTCAGGTCAGCAATAATTTTGGCACAGATATAGCAGTCAGTCTGCTCTTGTTCTGTGCCAATTTGGGGATTTTATTTTATTTGCTCTTGAAGGGTCAGGCACAATTTACAGTAACAGTTTCCAAAGTCTCCTCTCTCCTCACTTTGAAAAGGCAGAAATTCAACCTGAGCAGCTCTTGCTTTACCCAGCAGGAAGACTGGCTTTTCCTCCTGTCTCCTCTGGCTGGTTTTTCATTTAAAAATAAAAAAGCCTTTCATTTTTTTGAAATTGTCCCATTTTTCTTTTCTTCCCACCTCACCCCTGATTATCACATTTAGAATCATATAGTTCTGGACTGTGTGATTATCAATGACATTTTAACACATTAGAATTAATGGTTCCATATTTCTGGGCAAGCTTCCTCAAATGGCAGTAGATGGCAAAGAATACAACAAATGGGGAAGTGTCAGTCCATGCAAAGCCTTCTAACCCAAGGAAATCTTTAGTGGCACTAAGTGCTGATTGTGAGGAACTGTATCTCAGGACTGCCGCCTGATCTGCAGTTGCTCGCACATAAGTCTTATGAAACGTGGCTGAAAATCCAGTGAAGTAAATGGAATGGGTACTTTATCTGGCACGATAATAAGAGATTCAAGTAAACACACACTTTATGTGTTATTTAGATTTTTTGGTTCCAAACTACCCTTCCAGCAGGAAATGAGGATAAACAAGGAGTACGGGAGGTGAGGAGAATGAAAGAAAATAAAATAACAAGAAAGCACCCTACACAGTTCTTTCCCACAACTAAACCCCTTTTTACGTAGTACGGATGCTTTTCACCTTGGTTTCCAGTGACATTATTTTCTAATTCTGCCCTCCCTATTATTTCAAAAGAAGAGGGGACACCTTTTAGAAAACATTCAGACAATATGTTTTTACAGCTTTTTGTCTGATAACTGCTTTTCTTCCAGGAAATTCAATTTAAAACAAAACAAAACAAAACACCCCCACTTTATGAATACGGCAAATGTGCTTCTGTAACCAGAATGCAAAAAACAGGGCAGCCTGAAAGCTGACAGCGCCAATGACAAGGTTCGCAACCTTGGGCAACAGAGGAGTTCTTGGACTGCAATTCCCAGAGGTTTTCACCACCAGTGGTGTTGCTTGGGATTCTGAGAACTGCAGTCCAAGAACACCTGGGTTACTCAAAGTTGGGAACCACTGGTACAGGATACCCTCTTGTGCTCACTGCCATTCACAAAGAGACACCAAGCAGGGTAAAACACCAGAACTCGACTCGTTTTTCATTAGTTAACCACTTCTCGCCCAAACACAAAGCAATCGTCAGGGTTGTTTTTCAACACGTTCTCATGGTGGCTGAAGTCCTGTTGCTTAGCGTAAGCCAAAGTATTATTCTTCGGCAAACAGAGCACCCTGCTGTGGTTCTGGGGGCATACACACACAAAACAGAACAAAAAACAAAACAACAAAAGCATGTGCACATGCTCCTACGATTTGTAGCGGCAGCATTTTATTTACAAGGGGGAATGGATAGAAAGTTATGTTTTCACTTAAACTATGAATGGGATTTCAGCCTCTGTCCCTTTACCATTAAACAGTTGGCTGGACATGTGACTAGGCTTTTTCAATGCCAGCACCAAAGATATGGAATGTCTTTCCTAATGAAGCTTGGTTAGTTCCCTGCTTCTATTCTATTTTTTGAATAGAACATACTCGTGTTGGTGATTTATATGTATGTAAGTTAAACTCTATAATTCACTGCAGGTAACTGCCACTAATGAAGTACTGGTTGCAATACAAGTGTATGCCTAGTATTGCCACCAGTGCCTTGTTAATCAGCAGCAATTCACCTTGGTGAGTTATACAATTTAACTTGCACATCCATAAATGATCAAAAGGATTCTGGTCATTGTCTCTGGCATTCCCAATCTGTAGAATGAGCATATTCTTGGCAACAGACCTATGGATGAAAGATAGCACACATTCACCAACTATTTAACTATTATTAACTAATCAATTCACCACTGTAATAAGGGAGACACACAACACACTCACCCATAGGTTCTTTGATGACAGCGTAATAATCTGGAGCATCATTGGGATCTACTGGTTCTAGAAAGGGCCATGCCATTTTGTGAGCCTGTTAAGAAAAGGTCATGGATTACAACAGATAGTCAAGATGAACTCTACTCTATCCTAAATCTAATGTATGTTAATTGTATGGTACTGGGATGGGGTGGGGCGAGGAAAAGTCATCTGCAGAATTTACAAGAATTGTAGCTACATTGACTGAACTGGAAAAAGTTGGCTCTGACTCCAGGGCAGCTTCCTCTGATAGGATTCTGCTCAGGAGCCCTAAATAAATCCAAGTCCATCACAAAAAGATATCTTTTACAACCCTATACAGTGGTGCCTCGCAAGACGAGCGCTTCGTTTTACGATGAAATCGCATGACGAAGTTTTTGCGATTGCAAAAGAGATCGCAAAACGATGTTTTCTATGGGTTTTTTTCGCTTTGCGATGATCGGTTCCCTGTTTCGCTAACCGATTATCGCAAAACGATTTTTGCACAGCTGATCGATGGATTCAAAATGGCCGCCGGGTAAAAAATGGCCGCCCGCTGTTTTCTGGGATGGATTCCTCGCTGCACGGGCAGCGAAAATGGCTGCGCTATGGAGGATCTTCGCTGAACGGTGAGTTTCAAGCCCACAGGAATGCACTAATCGGGTTTTCATGCGTTTCTATGGGCTTTTTAAAATTGCTTTACGATGTTTTCGTTCTACAGCGATTTCGCTGGAACGAATTAACATCGTAACGTGAGGCACCACTGTATACGTTTGTTGGGGAAGTGAATTAACACAGTGGTCCTCAATGGCTCACTCTCCGGGGACGACTTCAACTCCCAGTATCCCTGTCCATTAGGCTTTACTACCCGAGGCTTCTGGGAGCTGAGTTCCAAACCATTTGGGGGATGAAAGGAAGACAGGCCTGAACTGAATGACCTTCTCCAGCCAAAGTCTTACTCTTACCTGCAGTGAACGTAGCACTCTCTTCAGCCCCTCGTAATCTTTATCTGTCAAGGGGCTGAGTACTGTCATGGCATCTTCTGTGGACTGACACTGCGGACAGACATACTCGTCGATGAGATCTGCCTCGCTCTGCAAGATCCCAACGCAGCGCCCATGATACCAGTTCTGGCATCGATCACAGCCAATGTAAAATCTGTGGGAAATTGTTAACAGCCTTAGTTCCTAGCGCATGAGAATCTTTCACAGTTTTAAAAAATCCTAAACAGAATCAGGACCTCTATTACTGAAAAATGCACATACATTTAGAAGTGCAATCCCAGTGTCTCATTATCAACAATGACGAACCAAAAAACAACGGAAACAGCTGCAATTTAGCATTTTTAAAGCTGAAAAGGAATATAAATGAAGCCCTAAAACACATACAGTTGTTATATAAGATTTCTCTGTTCTTCTGATCAACTGTTTTTCAATATACTATTAACATATCTGTAGAAGAATTGATGTCATCGTCCTACAAGTACAGGATAAAAGGGGTCATATGAAACTTAATACCACACAGATTCCATTACTATAATCATGTCTGAAGTCTAAACTAAATACAACATTAATTGCAATAAATTATAAACTCCTACACATTACCGCATTTTCTTGAAAACCTGATGCAAAAAATCAGAAGAATGATCTTGCCCTGAATAACATCATGCTTTTCTGGTAATATCATAAACTGCACTTTTCCTGCATTGCAAATACTGTACACAATTCAGAGACATTAGAGAGATGTTTTAAAAGTGATACCACATGATACAACATTTGTGGAACAATATTTATTTTGTTTAAGAAACACATCACCAACTCAGAGCAGTTTTCTACCTGAATATTAAATAAGAGGTTCTTGTCAGAACTCACTGTGACTCATCATAAGGTGTTCTGCAGATACAGTACAATTCCTCACTGCTGCCCTCTTGTGCCCGTTTACACTCATTACAGATGTACACATCCATTTTCTTAGCCTCCTTTTCTGTGATGCCAACACATTCTCCATGATACCAGTTAGTACAAAGATCACAGCCAATATAGAACCTAAAAGTATTTACAATGAAAATGACAATGTAATTGTCATTTCAAATGCCATGGCACTTGCTAACCTAAATGTCTGAATTAAAAAAAAATTTCCTTAACTACACCAACCTATCCTTCCAAAGCTAGCATCTGAAGCTATTGTACATAATTTTCAAAGACCTATTTCAACAGTTTGTTATTCTGGTTGTTGTTTTTTTTAAGGTCAGTTGATATGCACTGAACTCTTAGAAATATGTAAATGTCTCAACTGGGAATGTACAAAGACAAGGCCAAAGAAAAAGATCTATGTTTTCAAAACGGAGTAGCTACTTGAGTACAGCAACAGTTCTGATGTTCTGAAAACGCAGGTCTTCATTGTAAAACAAAGTGAAGCGCAGACAGAACTAGAAGTTACAGATACTGTACATCAAAAGGAGCATGCATACCAGCCATGTGTAAAATACATATTGGTATAACATGACATGAAGGAAAATGGGACAAGTGGATGCACATTTTAATGTCTAAAGAATTGCCTGAAATCAATGGAATTTGACTTCCCAACGTGAAAAATGTAGACCATTCTATCAAGAGTACCTCTTATCAGACAAGACTACATGGCTGTTTTGATATGGCATGGTAATGAGGTTAAAAGAACAGGCATTTCTATCAAAAAACCTCATAATGTTAAGTCTGAAAATCTACCATTTACTAAGGACAGGTTCTTCCTGTAACTATAGTTCTTCGGGTGGTCATCTGCAAACTCACACACATGAGTGCTCTGCCTCAGAGGACACCACTGTGCAGGCACAGGCCCATGTGCATGAACCACAGAGAGGATAAAGAAAAGTATCTAAATTCAAACATGACCTAACTAGAACTATGCAGGAGAAGGGCAATAATGTTCTATGTACATCCCTGGCTCAGGCCTGACAAGGCACAGTGCAATGGGGCACCACGTGAATGAGCCTCAGACTCAAGCCCCTACCCACCCCTTCCTCTTGTCCAGTTCAATTAATTCCTTTTGGGATCAGCCATATTGCTGAATTCATACTCTGGTCTGTGCTTGTCTTGTAAAACACAACTTTAAAACTGGGTTGTTGGTTTAGATTCACTATTTGTCCCAAATTAGGGAAGAAAGGGGGAGGGGAGGATCGTGCGATCCCAAAACTCTTCTGATTTAAAACCAGCTGAACCCTCTTTAGAGCGTTTTTTTGTTCCTCCGTCTCCCCTTGGGTACTGTGTGAGCAGTCAGCTCTAATACAAAAAGCTGCAGTATTTAGATGCCGAGTACACACACACACACACACACACAATTTTTAAAAACCACCACTCTTTGCAGCACCACCAAAGATTTTCTCTTTCAAGAAACTGGTGTCCTAAATTATAATGTTTTTCCGCTTGGATTCAACTGCAGTCACAACAATCGCAAAGTCTAACCAAACAGCTTTGCTGGAAGAAGGCCAAGCAAACTGGTCTTAATGGCTGAAATTTACAATCCTTTGCAAGCAGAGGAAGCCCAAATAATCAGTAGGGATTCGGCGAGTCAACTCTTCCCTAAGTTTCAGTGACTGAATGGGCCTACTTTAGTTGCAACTAACTACTGGATCTTGGCCAATGACTCCTCCAGTGTAGGTCCAGAACCCCACCCCATTTGGGGGGGGGTATCTTCCTTCATGCGCAACTGCAGCAGTAGGCTTTCTGTGCAGGTGCAGAAATCCTGTTCGTGTGAGTCACCACAAAGAAGAAAGACCCACTTCATGAGTGGAGTCCTGCTGAAGTTGCTCTGAATCCAAGGTATAGGCTCAAGGCTCGTTTGTTGATCTCACTTCTATTAACTTCTTAGAATACTACAGCTACCATTGCTATAGTGTTTCTCATAGACTTGAATGACTCACGTCCTCATCTCCTAGGCTATCTTCACTTAGCATTTTAAATGGGAGAGTGCACATTTACAAAAAAAATTACATACACAACACATGAATCATTAGCTCCCCTCATCAAATAAAACTAAAAGCATGAGGTCAACACAAGGCAATTAATGGCTTTACTATATCTTAATGTCCTTCAAAATGTGAATTATATAACCTTCCAACAAATTCTCTCACAATACATTTAGAGCTACACTTATCCTTCTAATCTTTTTAAGACTGCAAGGGATTATTATGTTTATTAAAACCTATTTTTAAAAACACTAAGCCTATTGATTCAAGTGCAAAATCTGCTCTTAAGAGCGTTTCCGTAAATTAAATAACACACTCATACAATCAGACTTGAGTGAATTCTACTTGACCATGTTAAAGAAACTATTTTTTCATCCAAATTTTAAATGGGATTTTAAATAAACTTAAAATCTGAAAACAAGGACAGGTAATACTGTACACTTATTAGACCATGAAAAAAATCACACACATAAGCCAGCTTTCCACTCCACACCAGTCTTTATCAGGATGGGCATTACAGAGCTGGGAGTGGCATAAAAGTTCCAAAATCTATGACTAGTTCCAAAATGAGACCTGCAGAAATAGCTGAGGAAACCACTGGTTTCAGATTTCACCTCCGCCAGCTAGAATTAGAATGCCACTCCCACTCCTGCTGGATAAAGGGTTGCTACTCACTCAGCAGCCACCCTAGATCAAAACACATGGTTCCTTTTTGGCTGGGTCTAATAATGCAGCAGTGGTCCAGTAAAGGAATCACCTGCCTGAGTATTTATAAAAGGACCACCTTTTTTCTTTTTGCTATAATGAATCCAATGCAATCAACAGACCTTAGGTTAATAAGTTAACTTCCCCAACAGAATTCAGTGGGTCTGTTCTCTGAATTTAACCTATGCATTACTTCAACTGAACAGTTTCCTCATATTGTCCACAATTTATAATACGTTCCAACACAGAGAAATTATGCTATATCGGCACGTCTAACTGACAACACAATCTTCAGACATAATCCTATTGAGATCACAGGGTGGGGATGGGGTTACTCACAGGAAACAGAGCACAGGATGGCAGCCTAAAGGTAATCTGTGAAGATCAACTTCTTACACCTCAATAAAATGCTCACTTGCTTCTTCCATTAGTATATCAGACAAAATAAAAAATAAAAAAACCCCAAATGTTGTAGTGCTGTAAAGACTTAACTGCTATACTTTTGTGGATCAACTTCCTTAGACACAGAACTGAAGCTATATAACTGTCATATTTACAGATAAACCCATGACCACGTGGGATAAATATATAACGTATACCACACACACATAACAGTCATACAATCCACACTTATGTTGGCGGAAGTGGACTTGATCCATGAAATCTTACATTAAAATATGACAGTTTTTTAAGGGGCTACAATGTTTTTGCCTTTGTTTTTTAAAACAATCTGTCTTGATATTTTTGCACAGACTAACGTGACTATTTTTTCAAAAACTCCTCTTACAACATACCTGTCATCATTTTGTTCCTTTACCCGCTCCAGTCCACAAAAAAACTCACATATCTCTCTCGCTATAAAGCAGGTTTCAACCTAAGCTAAATACAAACCAATGTCATAGAAATTGGTTCTCTAATTCAAAAGACTGTATATGAATTTTTTAAAAGACAAAAAACCCCAAAGCTTTTCTCTAGAAGGTTAGCTAAGGAAGTAACAGACAACTTTTTCAAGATTCTTGTATCCCACAAACAGGGACTGCCCACAACAGCTACAACTTATCAATGAATTGGAGATCAGAGCACAAGACCAATCAAAGGCCACACTCATTCTTGCAACCCCAAAGCTTCTCTTACAAAAAACAAAGTTTCATTGAAAAGCCCCGTTAATGCTTTCAGTGTCCACCGACTCAAAACACGAAAAATTTACCCCCACGCCATATTGGGCAAGGAGTTCCCAAGTTTTTTTTTTTTAAATCAAATTTCCGTTTAAACATTTGGTGGTGTGGGGGTGTCGGGCAACCCAAGATTTTGAAGTAACTTTGTGGCTATACTTTTAACTACGCGTGGTTCTTAAATCTCAACAAGTTACAAGTGCATAGCAATTACCATTCTATTAGAATATCCTGCCCCTCACACCCTAATGTTTCCACCATTAAAATGTATAATAAAGTATATTTTCTACTTTATTAGCAGGGTGAAAATAATTTTCAGAGAACTGCAGTTCTCATTTTGTTCAGGATTCTGAAACCTACAATAGTTTTTTAAAAGAAAACCCATTTAAAAAGCATTTAAGAATTTAAAGAGAAATTTCTGGAACACTGAACAAAATGTATGGTAAATAATTATTTCCTCTCTGGGATTTGTTTTAGTCATAAAATTTATACCCTGACCTTCAACAAGATTTTTTTTTTGAGAAGGAAGAAATTCAACCCCCAAGTAACTTTAGAGGAAATCCAGAGTCTGCTGGAAAGAATACTAGCCTATAATCCCCTGTGTTTCAAGCAGCAGCAAAAAGAAAAATGAAAGAAAAAAAGGCAAAGTAAAAGATATGCAATGTCAGACTGACTGCACAATGGAGACATGCAAATAGATAAAATATGAATCACAAAAACTGAGAGACAATTATTAATAAAACACACAATTCTGAGTGTTTAGATCTTCACTTCTTTCTCTGTAATTCTACAAGAAAGCAGTAACTAACTTCCAACTCCATTTTTATAACATTCTTAACTACTGCTTAAATGCTAAAATGCATGTATAATACAAATATGCAACATTTTGTACTCACTTAGATTCATCGTAAGGCGTTTTGCAGATGCAGTAAAGCTTTGTGTCCTTCTTGGTTTCCTTTGAGGTAGTAGAAATCATTTTCTTTTTCTTGGATTTTGAAGAAGAGGATTCCTTCTCTTCCTCTCGCTTTCTTTTATGGGATGAAACAGATGTTGTGACTGTGGTTGATGATGCAATGCTGGTAATGTGTGGTGGTGGAGGGGGAGGGGGAGGCGGCGGCGGTGGTGGTGGTGGCGGTGGTGGTGGAGGAGGAGGTACAGCGGCTGCTGCAGCAGCGGCTGCAGCAGCAGCAGCGGCTGCCTGGGCCTTTTCCTTTTCCCTCTTAATTTTAGCCAGATCCTTCTTTAGTTCTTCCTAAGGAAAATTGAAAGCAACAAAGTTAACCCACATAACTTGACAATAAAATTAATCCTGGTTTACCCTATTAAAGAACAACGTAAACTCGAAGTGTAGAGAACTAGTTGATATTTCTATATCGGTAGCTCTTCTTTTCTTTTCTTTTCTTTAAATTTCAATATGGTGAACCTCCCTAAGTGGGATTTCTTGGGCCACAGGGAAATTTCAGTGTTCTTTTGTGAAAAGAGAAATTGGTTTCCAAGGCAGTAAATCTATGGAAATCTATGTTAAGGGAAGATTCTGTTCTCATCATTTTATCTTTACCTTAAAGTAAAAGCAAGGTTCTCTCTAAGGTGTGCGGCTGCATGAGTGCGTGCAACTCTGCCCCCCTCTGTGCAGCGTCCCTCCTCCTCCTCCTCTGCACACCCACAGCGATCATTTCCAGCCACTTCAGTTCTGGTCACAATGGAACCCTGGGGGGGGAGTCACATGCAAAAGGGGCGGAGCCCCACCCTGTGACGCTGAAAATTAGGGAGACCATTGTGCTGGGGTAATGAAAATTACTTCATCTGCAGCCACAGATTACTACTAATCAAAGAGCTTCTCACTTTGATACTTACTGTTTGACTATAAACTCAGAGTGTAAATTGGCTGACTTTTTAAACAACTCTGAATCTAATTAATCTAATTAATACACGAAACCAAAGGACAGAATCATCTTTTGGATTCCTGTGTGAATTAGACTGCCTCTAATTAAGGAGTCCCCGCTTTGATCTCAGGTCACCCCCCCCCCAAAAAAAACAAACCACTGAGGTTGCACAACATGAGATTACGTTTAAGCAACGAGGGAAATTAAAGTGGGGATCTCTCTATGGAGCAGCCATCTGCAATGGCAGGTGACACAATTTCCCTTATACCTTTATTAACCTATAGAAAAAGATTATGGTCACAGAGAACATATTTATCAATATGTTAACATTCTTCTAGAAATAAATAGTTCTGCATTGGCTTTTTCATGTGCATTATCAACTTAGTCTGTTTCTGAAGTCTAATGAAATGTCTCAAAGAAAAGATTCTAAAAAAAAGGAAATGTTTAAACTATAAAGACTCATATACAGAAAAACTTGAGCATTTAGTCTAGTACCAACCCTACTATTTGAGCTTCAGTCATATACAATTTTATTTGTGCTGTGAGCATTAGAAAGGAAGAAAATGCTCTGAAAGATTTTAAAATTATTCCAATTTTCATTCAGCAGAAGTTAAGCATAAAGAATATGGCCTGGAGATTAACAAATTTTCCCTCGTAGACAAATCTCGTATAGATATTTCAATAATCAAGGAGAAACCTGCAACAGGATAATTAAAGCGATGGCAAAATACAACCATATCACACGATAGCAAAACATTTACCTTCACTTAATTTTTATCGTGTTTTCTGTAAGACAGCACAAAACCCCCACTGCATTAGATGTATGAAGTATCACTCAATTAAAAACAGCCACATGAAATATAGCTAAACAGATCATTTGGACTACTCATTCAGTCTGAATTGAAAGGTGAGAAGTGTTAAAATATTGCACTTGAGTAATGTGAAAATTACAGCTAACTGACAAGGTGCTAGGGGCCATGTCTCAGCTGCACATTACACATGTGACCAGACATGAGCCTGAGATGTGCCACACTCCTTCAGCAATTAGTTAAGGCAAGTTACACAAAATGTATGCAAACACAAAAAGGATTCTGATCACTGCAAACTACATGGAGCTTATGAGAAAGGGTGAGCAACCGGTGTCTACAAGGAGGCACATGCTTTCTTCTCCAGAATCCTGTTCAATTATAATGTATGCAGCCAGAGGCATTGCTTTGCAATGCCATGCAAACGTGACACTACAACAGTTTCCCTACCCACCCGCTCCTGAAGAACTCCTGCAGGATTCCAAGCATTCATTCAAACATACACACATTTAGTGGAAATATGTCTAAGGCAGGAAAGGTTTAGCTCTACCTGCACTTCAATCTGTAGATCTTTGTCCAGAAGTGCTCTTTTCTTCAGTATTTCAGCTTTAAGTTGTTCCTTGTGTTTGAAAAGCAAAGCTGAGAGTTTGGTTGCATTTTGTTTGCTACGTTTCTGCTCCACGCTCTCTTCTCGCTTTCGTTTCTTAGCTGCCTGTTTTTCTTCTTTATCTATCTTATCCAGAATATATTTCATTACCTGGTTGCACACAATCATTCTAGAGAAGACATGTAAAAGATATCATTAAAAAATTAATAAAGAAAAAAAGATGTTGTTAGCATGAATGGCTCAAAAATCATGGCTAAAGGTGAGGTACATTCTAGGAGAAGAAACAAGCAAGCAAGAATCACAGTCTCCAGATGAGAACAACAGAACTTTTAAGTTTGGCATAAGTACAACATGAACGTTGCAGAACAGCCTACAACATATAGAAACAGTTACCCCACTCTCAAACAAGAAGTATTCTACATTCTCTTCTACCAGGCACATCCTTGGACCACTAAAGATGGCATTAGATGTGTAAGTATCAAGACCTGTTTCAAACATACAGAAAAATACTGTGCAGTGTTAAGACAAAAAGATGCTTGAAAAAGATTCTGCTATCCAATTCTGTAATACTGTAGGCACAAGTGGCTGTCTGTTTACTTACTAAACTGGTGCAGAGGACCAGAGACCCGGAAATATACAGTGGTGCCGTATAGCGATCCCGAAAAAGGGATCGCTATACGGAAACATCGCTATACGGTGCACTCGCTAAGCGAGGCACCATTGTAACTTCAATGTGTCAACTAAAGAGAATATAGAATGTAACTCAATTTGCAGCTATTCCACGAAAACTACCCATGGGAACAGACTACTCTTGTGAGCAGTTACATCTCTGGATGGGTTGGCTATGATAATGGATGTTGTATCACATATTCTACCAAAAGCAGAACTGAATGATACCATACACACACAACTACTTAATGTCTGCCCAACAACAGTCCTTCTTACCGTTGATTCTCTTCACGTTCAGCAGGAGTCAGCGTCTTTTTCTGCTTTAAGTGCTCTATCACAGCATTATGTTTCATTACCACCTTCAAGATAACAACAAAATCAAATATAGGATAACTTTGGAGCACAAGAAACAACATGAGAAAACTGCAACACTTTCCAACCAAAAGGCAAACACAAACGTGAGGGCCGCATGGCTTAAAAGTTAACATGCTTGAAAAAGTGAAAGCAACCTTCACTTGGTTCAACAGTCGCCTGTGCAATGCTGAACAAGCAAAACAGGGGCTCTTGCCTCCTTTGATGCAAACCCAAAGAATTCTAAAACGAAGAAGAAGCAGAGAGGTGGAGTAGTAGCTGCTGAGAAAAAGAACTGATTCAGAACAACTGGCACTGGGAACGACACTTTGGCCCTGCGTCCCTGCTCAGGAAGATGAAGAGAAGCATTCTGAGAGGCTCTCCAGAGAGAGAAGTCAGCAATGCTCTGAAGTAACACATTTGTGCAGATGTTGCTGTTTGTTACTCTTAAAAAACAACTGAAGAAAGCCAATGCTACCCTGAATTATTATTATCTTTGCAAAATGAGTAACTGTGAAGGCAAGGCTAAGAGGACTCTTAGACCTAGCAGTGAGCCATCCCCTCAAGCGTTGGAGGCTGGAGGAAACAACATTCAGGAAGCTACTTTACCCGCAAAACTGAAGAACTTGGTGATAGGAGGAGAGGGAGGAAAAGGCGGGATGAAAAGAGGATATGAGAGGTTTTTCTAATGATGGAGGAGGGAGAGAAGGGACAGCTAAAGAGCTGGTGCTTAGAAAAGTGGGTAAGTATTGAAAGAGTAGAAAAGGAGGAGGAGGCTGGAGGAAACAACATTCAGGAAGCTACTTTACCCGCAAAACTGAAGAACTTGGTGATAGGAGGAGAGGGAGGAAAAGGCGGGATGAAAAGAGGATATGAGAGGTTTTTCTAATGATGGAGGAGGGAGAGAAGGGACAGCTAAAGAGCTGGTGCTTAGAAAAGTGGGTAAGTATTGAAAGAGTAGAAAAGGAGGAGGAGAAGGGAAGCAACCTTCACTTGGTTCAACAGTCGCCTGAAAAGGAGGAGCAGAAGGGAAAGAGAGAATGAGGAGAGGAACCATTATGTCTTTAACGTGCCAGGTAAAGAAGAGGGAAGGAGAGAAAGAGGAGGGGGATATATGCGCGGGAAAAGAGGAGCGGGATTAGAGATTGAATTGGGAGAGCTGGACCCCCTAGAATGGACTGTATACGTTTATCCTCAAGGGAAACATCCCTTGAAGAGGGTGGTTCTTCCTGAAGCAAACCCGATGATTCAGATGACCCGCGAAGGGGATTGGGCTTGTAATCCTTGATGTGGAACTATATGCGTGACAGGGAGCCATCCTTTGAGGAAGCCCACAGACAGGGAGAGGTTTGGAACTTCTCTGCCCTGAAGAAGACTGAAGAGTCTAAAGCATTCACTATGTTAGGGAGCGATCCTCTGATGTTATCTGGTTCTGTTGAACCTACAGAGGTTACTGTTGACCCTCTTTCAGTTACTGAAAGTAAAAGTTATTTGAACAAATACAGTGGTGCCCCGCATAGCGACGTTAATCTGTTCCAGCATTAACGTCGCTATCTGGATTCGTCACTATGTGGGGGGGGGGGAACCCCATAGGAATGCATTAAAATGGGTTTAATGCGTTCCTATTGGGGCGAAAGTTCACCGCTATGCGGGGAATCCTCGATCCGGCTGCCATTTTCACTGCCTGGTAAGCGAGGGCAGGGCGTGAAAACGCTGCGGGCGGCCATTCTGCGGATGCGGCGGCCATTTTGGAATCGCCAATCAGCTGTTTACAAAATATCGCAATGCGACCGCAAAAAAACATCGCAATGCGATGTTTTCCCTATGAAAAATGCGTCGCTATGCAAATTCGTCATTAAACGGTGCACTCGTTAAGCTAGGCACCACTGTATATGTATCCTGTGGTTAATGCAGTCAAAGTAGGGGAAATGCCTAAAGATATCAATGAACAGTAACATTTACTTCAAAGGGGTCCTTTTAAGGAGAAAGGTAGGGTAAACATACATACATGCATACTACTTATTTGTTACTCTAAAATTTAACTTTTGAGGTGGTTAGGGGAATTTGGCATTAAGTAAAAGTTATTTGTATTTACAGTGTTATTAGTTAACAAATTATTAATGGTTAGTGATACTTGCTACTAAACGGTAACAAACAATATGCTATTTTTTTTAAAAAGGAAAAACCAACATACTGATTTTCTCACTAATGCTTTCAAATTGTGGGATTCTATTCTGCCAGCAGCATGGAGGCTGCGAGGAGGCTTTTAGCAGCACACGTGTCTTTGTCTACTCAAACAACCCCCCCCAAAAAAAACAACAACAAAAAGTCGGTGTAAGAAAGAGATGGACAAAGTACACCCCTTGGCCTTCAAGATATGTGTCAGATAGCAACTCCCAGAATTCTTCCTCATCAGTTATGCTGTCTGTGGCTGATGAGATTTATAGTCCAACATCTGAAGGGCTGTACTTTGCTTCACTTGGTTCAAATCAACAATTTAGAGATTAGGAGAGAAGTATGGGAGTGTCTAACTACCTTCTTTTCATTTAAACTGTCATTTGTTCCTTCCTCCATAATTATGCCCATAAACATTACAAGGAAATTATCAGTTGTACAGTTCTTGATGACTATAAGATTTTTCTGTACCATTTCCCCAAATATACTTTGAATATATGACATATTTTTTCCTAAGTCCATCACTAGTATGCCACAGGACTATTCTGTTGCTTTCTGAAAAATCTTGTACAATAACAAACTCTATTGTAAAATGGTGCAAAACATGTAATCAATCAAATTCAAGTCTCTGTCTCTCAGATCAAAAAGCAGAGAGACGCATGCATCAAAATTTTTTTAAATTCAGAATATTTGTTATATTCAAACAGAGAGCAAAATTAGCTGAATAGTATGGACTTTGGGTGGGATAAGTGGAGGCACAAATGGTACACTAAATTTCAACTTAATTCACATTCCCAAAAGATTCACAACATGTACGCATAGCACGCAAACAGCCTAAGAAGTGGGTTACCTGTTTCTGGATAATATCACTCTGATTAGAAGCTTGAAGGGAGTGTTCACGTTTAATTTCAATATGCTGCTGTTTTTTCTTCTGCTGTTGCTCTCTGAGCTGCTGAACCCTTTGTAGCTGTTCTTGAACACTGGCTGCTTGAACAGTTACAACGTTCTGGATCTGATGAGCTTGGACTGGGCCAGCTTGCTGGATCTGAATAGGTAACTGAAGCTTAATCTGCGGAGGCAACCCACCTTGCTGCGTCTGTATCTGAGCCACCACATGAGACTGAAGCTGGGAGAACACCTGGACCTGCTGCTGAAGTTGGGGCACTGTGATAACTTTAGTCTGTGGCGGCTGAATTTGCAGCTGGGGCCGTGGAGGCTGCACAGAAACCTGACTCAGATTTTGTGCAACCGGCAAAGTTTGGACTGAGGCTGAAACCTGGGACTGCTGAGACTGGATCTGCACAGAAGGATGTGGCTGCACCGGAACTGGCTGTTGGGCTGTGGTTTGTACCTGAACAGGCTGAACGGTCTGGACTTTTGGCGAGGTCTGTGGAGGCACCACTGTCTGGCTCTGGCTCTGAACTTGAGTTAAAGGCTGTCCTTGCACAAGGCTCTGAGATGGCGCTTGAGCAGCAGCTGGCGTTACCACTGATGTGGGTGCTGCGGGTGGCGGTGCTTCAGAGGCAACTGTGGGGACTGGAAGGGAAGCTGGAGCCTGAACTTCAGGGGTTCGCTGAGCTTCAGCCTGCGGTGGAGATGGAGTAGGTGGTGTCTGTGCTGGAGCTGGAGTCGGAGGTGGACTACTCAGGGACGGTCCTTGTGGCTGGGGTGGGAGCGGAGCTGGCGGTGGTTCGTTAGCTGGAGGGGCTGCTGGCACTGGCTGTGTTTGTGGCTGGGCTAAAGAAGTTTGCTTCTGTTCCCCTGCAGCTGGAGAAAAGAGACACATTCAGCGCCAAAATAGGAACAGACTATGGCTTTGGTCCCTAGCTGCACAGCCGGAGATTGTGAGTTGGATTCCCTCTCCTTGTGCCTCCTTGATAGTGGCTTGACTTGATGATCTAGAGTAGACTGAGTCCCCTCCAGCTCTGCAGTTCTACAATTATTATATTTTTATTTCGCCCCTTGCTGTTTTATACCACTTCACTAATATAAAGTCTTGGATAATCAAAAGCTTCCACAGCTCTTTGCTTAGTCATAGTAAAAGTGTTGCCCAACTATGGATTATTTTTCCTATGGACTTGTTTTCTTTGAGAGCTGAGATGATCCCCCCCCATTTAGCATAAAACCCTTACCTGAGGATGAGGTGCAAACGGTTGTCGTTGCCGTGCTTGTTGTAGTAGCTGCTGGTGGCAATGGGGTGAAAAGAAACCGTTGAATTGTGCCGTTTGGCATCGCGGCTTGCATTAGTTGTTGCCCTGGTCCAGGTATTACAGTGACACCTTGAGGGATCAACTGCAATTGGCCAGTGGTTTGACCTTGTCCTTGAATTACCACAGTCAAACCCTGACTGCCACCCTAAAAGGGGAAGGGGGAAATCAATCACAGAAACAAAAAATCCTTAGTGCCAGCAAACTTTTCCAAGGGAATAAAACAAGTGTATGAAATCTGATGCTGAGGTGTAACATGGGTTTTGAAGTATCTGAACAGTCAGTGGTCAAAAAACTGTTAAGCAGATCTGCATGGAGACAATGTCATCATCAATGGCAAATCACCACTGATTAAACACAATTTCAGAATGCATGTGTCTCGAACACAATGTGACAAAGTCACGCACACCCTAAAATACCCAAAGAAGCTTTTAAATCAATGGTGATTTGCCACTGGTGCTGATGTCACCACTGCTGCACAGAGCTGCACAACAGCATTTCAGCCAATGTGTACAAACAGGCATTTCTAAAAGATTCATCTATAGCACCAGCCAATGAAAATTAAAGTAAGGCAGAAATGGAGACGTGAGATATTATGACATGAAACTTTTTACTAACGTCTCTAAAAACTATATCTAGTGGACCTGAATGTGCTCAAGCATATACACGTTATCTTTAATAAGTAATAAACAAAAGTACAAATTTAGTAGGAAACTAAAACCAAAGTAATAGCTCTATGTATTTTGTCACTTACTACATTCAACTAACATATTAATGCATGTGAATGCAGCCATGGATTTTTCTGAACACACCCATTCATAATTAATAGAGGGCCGTTGGTCTGCAATTGTAATTCAAAACATTTCAAGTCAGACTTTAAATAACATGTCCAGGTTCCAAAGTATGCAGTCAAAATGCTCTTGTCACCTGGAAAACCTGTGTGCTCCCTATTATAAAATGCAACTGCTTTGATAAAATGGATTAAGATCTTACTCTACTTCCACAAAGAAATGAAGAGGAAAGAGGAGTTGAACACTTCATCAGAGCAATGATTCACCTTATTTAACTCTTTTCCACTGGTGACCAGCCTTGTAGGAAGTTAACAAAGCAGAGCATAAAAGAAGACCCAGGCTTATCCCCCTCTGACAGCAGCCAGAAAGCCAGTTCCTCTAACCATAAGCCCTAACACTGCCACTTCAATACTGAAACAGAAATATACAGATCCACATTATAAAAACCTTATTTTTTGTGAAGAAACAAGCAAACAAAAAGGCATTTCTGACATGCCCTGGTTGGGTGAAATAAAAGAACACATTCCAATAAAAAACAAGGCTAACATATGGAATAGTTATGGCTGAAATCCTGTTGTGTAGCTACTTTTTTTCTCCTGAAATTGCGTAAGATGTTGCGATGTTTGAACTAAGGCAGGAAGTCTTATCCAGGAAGCTATTCCACAGAGACACTGTTTTGTGGTCAGCAGCATAGGCAGTTGTGTGATCTGCATATGGCCCACTGCATGGTCTGTTGTCCAATGAGACATCCAGATTGTCTGGTGAACTGTTTGCTGCTGCTGCGAGAGCTACTCTCCTGCCCTCCACTTTTGATTTTGATCATCATCATTGTTCCACCATTCCAGATTAGTTCTTCTTTCTCATTCATTCATTCATTCATTCAATTCGTTCGTTCGTACGTACGTACATATAACTGGTGCCTCGCTTGACGATTACCTCGTTAGATGAGAAATTGCTTAACAATGAGTATTTTGCAATCACTATAGCAATCGCAAAACTATGTTTTAATAGGAGAAAATCGCTTGACTTTCGGTTCCCTGCTTCGGGATCAGATTTTTCGCTTTACGACAATCATAACTGCTGATCGTCAGGGTTCAAAATGGCCACCTGCTGTTTCAAAATGGCTCCCCGCTGTGTTTAGGAAGGCTTTTTCACTGTACAGGCACCAGAAAATGGCCGCCCTATGGAGGATATTCGCTGGATGCTGAGGTATTTTGCCCATTGGATCGTATTGAACCGGTTTTCAATGCATTTCAATGGGTCTTTTACTTTCGCTTGACGACGATTTCGTTCTACAGCGATTTTGCTGGAACGGATTGTCGTCAAGCGAGGCACCACGGTACGTGCATACGTATGTACGTACCATCCATGCATGCATGCCTTTTTGGATTCCTTCTAGTTTAGCCTTTTTATGTTATTTATGGGGGGGACTTGCCCCCTTTCCTTTATTTTTGCTGTTACTGGGAATACCCATTCTTTACCTGGTGGACTGCTGCCAGAGCTGCTGGACTGAGAGATCTCCTGAGTCCTCATAGTCTATCTACTCAAGCGGGTTGGGGGGGTTGATCGCATTTCTTGCTCTTAGGGAATTTGTTTTGATTTAAATTTTCTCCCTTGTGCATAATGTAGTGGTGGTGCATTGTTCTTGCTTTTCCCCATGGGATAAATTTTTTAAACATTTATTTTGTTTAAAAGTGAATTAGGTATTTTATTGTTGCTAGTGGACAACTTACTTGTGGAAAGGGTGCTTCTTTCGTGAACTTTTTACACTGGCATTCTTCTCCTGTGTATTTAACGTATTCTACTACATATGTATTTTGATGAGTTTGGCCAACTGTTCTATGTTTTTGTGGAAATGTGCAGGCAAGGAAATATGCGTGGATTGTTTTCCCAGAGAGAATCTTTCCGCTGTGTGATGGTGCAGCCAAAGTTTTAGCATGTTTCTTTTCCTTTGAATTTTTGGGTGCTTGCCTAGCTTGCTAGCTGCTTTTTGAACTGGTTGGTTGGTAGGTGGGTCTGTAAGCAACTGAGCACGGTTTTCTTTTTCCTCAGTGCACAGGCTTGGCACTGGTGGCATCCACCGCTGGCATCTTGATGGAAAGCTATTGGTGTTGAGAAGGGCCCACTCACAGTCGGCAGGCGGAGTGGGCTGAGGAATGAACTACATGGATGCTGCCCTAGAGCCTTCCACCTTGGAGTAGTGGTGCAGAAGAAGGAAGTGTAGCAAATACACTTCTCGGTTGCTGCGGATGTCCTCAGCCCACCATGTGCTTGGGCTTCCGGGTGCAAGGTTTTCCTCAAGATTAACCTGCCTTTTCTGGCTACCCCATCCTGCCCACAGTGTAGGAGAGAGGACAGGAGATTGGGCAGCACCTCAGAGTGTCATTAGCCATGTGCAAAATAGAGAGGATGGGGTAAACTAAAGTTTCCTCTCAGTGGCAAAGCCTCCCTGCCCCTGCTTCAGGGCTTGGAAGGAATAAAAGAAAGTTCTAGGTTTTCAGAATAATGCAGTGGTGCCTCGACTTACGAACGTCCCAACATACAACCATTTCGAGTTACAACCAGCTCCGGCCGCAAAATTTTGTGTTTAAAAAAGGAAAGAGTTGTATGTCTTCTAAGAATCACTGCAGTTTTGGAAGGGGAACCGAGCACTATGAAGAATGAAAACTCGTATATATCTCCAGATGCTCCTCGTAGGGAAGTGAGCTTGTATTTTAGTGTTGATTTTGTGCTTTGTGTATTTATGTTTTGTTTTATGTTTTGCTGGGTAGGGGTGTTATATTTTAGTATCAGGAATAAAAAAGAGGGGGTGTCAATGGAGCTGATGGTCAGGATGATACTGGGCCTGAGGTCTGTATGGAGGTCACTGAAATGATAAAAACAGTATCAAGCGCCTAACTAAAAGTGGGTGGGTTTCACTCAGATCTGTATTGACACCATGTGAAAAGACTGGTTCAATTAAGCTTCACTGGTAGCTTTCCACAACTCTTCTCAGAGGACAAAGTGGAACTAAGGCTCTGGAGCTCAGGCATCCTGGGACATCCCTGCTGAGGTTGTGGGAACAGGGTTCATGCCAAAGGTTACTCAGCTCTAGAACACAGGCACCAGCCTCATATGGATGGTATGAAAAATAACACAAAGAACCTTGCAAGCTTTCTCTACTATATTTATGATCAAAGTAAAACAGTTATAGGCATACTGTCACCATGAACACCAATGACGACTGCTTACCTGCCCTTGAGTGAGCTGCGTAAGCTGTGCCATCGTAAGTTTCACTTGACCTTGCTGAGGACGAGGAGGGTGTGGCTGTGTGGCTGGTGGCTGCACATGCTGTGAAGGCGTTCCAGGGGCTGTTACTACCTTCTGACTTGTAGAAACGGTGGTAGCACCGGACACTGCTGTTGAGACAGGCTGACCTCTGATGATCTGAGTCACTACTTGCTGTGTCTGGCCTGTATACAGAAAGAATTCATAGCATTAAAAAGCTATTTCATATGCAAGAAACTCCACTGAAAAAATAACTACTACCCTTTATCCCTGTCCACTGGCAAAATTGGTTCAGTGACTGAGAAAATCAGTGGCCCACTGACCAACAGAATTAAGAGTTATATCCCTTTGTTTCCTTAAAAGAGTGCCAATATTTTGTTTTGGAAATCACATAACAGCTCAGTGTTCTGTTGCATTATTCTTTACATATCTCTTTCCACTTTAATTCTAAGAGAGGCCAAGACAAACAGAATCACATAGTTAGCTCTAACCACTGGAGGGGGCGATGACTCTGACCTTGCATTTTTGAAGAGGAAGCTTCCAATACAGTACCAGGTAGAGTATCATTTTAAATCAGCAGAGACTTTTTATAACCAGAGTCTGCAATAAAACTCAACTGCTCAATTAAAAACGTTCAAAGGAAAGCTTTTCACTATGCAACTGGAAGCGTGGATCTAAAACAGCCATCTGGATTTGAGCTGATGTATTTATGTATTTATGATGTATTTATGATTTAAACTGAAAATAGATGATTCAACTAGGGGAAAAAACACTAGCTAAATGTAGCAAAATGTAGCACTGTGTTTCAGTATTGCTAGGCTCCTTCTTCTAAATCTTAAAGTTTTAAGAGAAATGTACCACAAATCCCTTAAGGTAGTAATGGTTCAATTATTAGTGTGGGTGATACAAAAATGGTTTTTAAAATGAAGAAACAAACCATGGGTGCCACATACTGGAGGTTTAAAAATCAAAATTAACCTACTGGCTGGAAGAATACCTTGCTGTACCACTACAGGTGTCCGAATGATCGTCTTTCCTAAGGCTGATTGCTGAAGTGGTGCCCTTATGACCGTCATCCCAGGTCGGAGAGGAGTCCCAGGTATTACCTGCACAAGGTACAAAGAAAACACTGGGTTTCCCCCCTTGTACTGACAGTGGAGGTAAGCAGGCAAAAATTCATTTCTTCACAGATCTGTCTAAAAATGAAAATAAGGATTTGAAAACAAAATTCTCAGAAACTGAGAAGTTACTACCTTTAAAACTTCTAACTGAATTCCTTTTGCCACCTGTAATTTTTAGTCTCATTTAATGTTGTCCAATCCTTTAAAATGACACTCAAACTACTGCAAAATCATAAATTTGCTGTACAACCACAAAATTCTTTGCACTGTTTTTTAAAGCCTCATAAAAAGAATAGGTTTATTACCTGTAACTGTAATTCTTTGTATGGTCATCTGTGACTTCACATATGCGGGTCTAGAATTTTCTAGAATCTGTACAGAATGTTAAGACACGCTATTCACGTGCATGATCCCCCACTCCAAGGATTGTCGCTAGTTCCCTCAGTCCACTGTTGACTCAGAAAGACCAACAGTTCCATGATGGACTAAGAGGAGGATGGGTGGGTTGTGTGAATTCACAGATGACCACTTGAAGAATTACAGTTACAGGTAAGCAACCTGTCCTCCTTCTTTGTGGTCTCTGTGAAATCACGTATGTCAGTGACTAGCAAACTCACTTACTGGCTGGTGGAGTGTCACATCAACTCAGAGAAGATCACAGTCCTGCCAAATGCAGTGTCTAGCTTAGCCTGGATGTCCAGTCTGTAGTGCTTGATGAATGTCGAGAGTTGCAACCAAGTTGCTGCTTTGCATATACAGTCGTGCCCCGCTTCATGCTTACCCCGCATGACGTCGAAATTGCTTTACAGTGAGTTTATTGAGATTGCTGTTGCGATCGCAAAACAATGGTTCCAATGGGTTTTTTTCGCTTGATGTTGATTACGAGCCTGCTTCGCAAACCGTTTGTTTGCTAAATGACGATTTTTCCGGCTCCGCAAAATGGCTTCCCTTCGTAAAATGACTTCCCTCCCTTCTCAAAATGGCTGCTTTCCGGACCACTGCTTTGGAAGACAGCGTTTTTAAACAGCTGATCGGCGGTTCTCTATGGACAATCTTCACTGGACGATGAGGTATTTCTCCATTGGCATGCACTGACCAGTTTTCAATGCATTCAAATGGTTTTTTTTCTGCTTGACAATGATTTCACTTAACAGCGATTTTCCTGGAACGGATTATCGTCGTCAAGCGGGGCACCACTGTATCACTGAAAGGTACTCCTCTGAGGAATGTCATGGAACTAGCAACAGCTCCAGTAGAGTGTCATTTCAGAGGGTTAGGCAGTGGCTTCTCTGAGCTGGAGGTAGGTGAGAAATGTGTGTAGAATCATGGGTTGGTTAAGGTGAAATTCAGGCACCACCTAAGAAGGAAAGAAAGGTCTAGGTCTAGGACAAGGATCACTCTATCCTTGTAAAACAGCAGAAAGGGCGGATTACAATCAAGGTAGGTCAACTCACCCACATGCAGAGGTCATAATGACAAAAAACAAAATCTTGTACGAAGTCATCAGTTCAAATGAGGGTTTAAGTAGTTGGGAAAGCACCAGTGTAAGACACTGGGGGACTGCAGCTCTGGTGTCTGCACAGACATTCTGCAGCCCTTTTAAGAATCTCTCATGAAAGGGATTCCCTAAGAAATGGCAGGCTGCAGAACTCTGCAGTTGGGAAGTCGTTATTGAGGAGAGGTGCTTTCTTCAAGAGGACTGTGAAAGACCTTTCTGCTTGAGGTGTAATAAGAACCGGAGCACCATGTGGAGCTTTGGCGGAAAGTGGCGTCTTTGTAGCAACATGGCAAAGTCAACACATTTTTGCCACTTCCATCTATAACTGTGTCTAGCAGACAGTTTCTTTGATTCTTTAGCTTGGAAGAATTCTCCAAGCTGTAAGTCTGAGACAAGACAAGTCTGGACGGCAGACTGTGCTGTTGTCTTATGTGATCAAATGCAGTTAGTGGGAGGAGATAGACTTCTGACATCATTATCCTGAGGGTGGCAAACCAGAGTTGGCATGGCCACCAAAGGGCTATCAGTATTGCACTGGTGCTGTCCTGGCAAAATTGTACAACTCCATGCAGAAGTGGTATGGGAGGGGAAAAAGCAGAATTTCTTCTGCATCCAGTGAGTTCCAAAGATGTCTTATGATCTCCTCCTGCAATCTGCTTTTGAGAAGAATTATCTGCACTTCTAATTGCTTTGGGTCGCAAACAGGTCCACCAACAGGCACAGATGTTATCAAAGATTTCCTGGTCATAGGGAAAGGTCCCCGCAGGCTCAGCGAGTACAGTAAGATTCTCAATTCTCCCTGGCCATGTGCATGGAAATGTGTCTGTCCAGGAACCATTTCCAAGCTGAACTGCAAAGCATAGGAGGATTTTCAGATTATTCCTGCTGTTTTCAGATGTCATCTATGTAAGGGATGACAACAGTTCCCTGCAGCCCAAGAAATGCAGTGACAGCCATCATACATTTGGTGAAAACTGGATACCTTAGGTATGTTATTGCTTAAGGTAAGCACAGAAAGTGGTGGTGATGCGGTCAGATGGTGATGTGAATATGCATCTCTTAGATCTATCAGGGCAAACCAGTCCCCCCCTTACTGATAAAAGGCAAACCTCTCTCTGGCACCAATGTTCTGAATGTATAGATATTTTTGTATGAGTACAATATGTCTTCCTATGCAGGTGAACGGTGATCTGATCTGGAAGACAATGGCTCTGGTGGGTGCTTCTTTGGGGTTTTCTTCAATTTAGCCATCTCAGAAATATGGGGATGGTGCTTCATGGTACGTGGTTTTGCACTTTTCAGAAAAACAGCATGGCCCTCGTGTGAAACTAAAAGCTGGCTTTGATTCCTTCAGTGTCGGGAGCATTTGGGCAGTCGTGGGGTTGAACAGCACTCTGATCCTGACCTGTGTGCTGACGGCTGTGGCGATGGAGACGTTGAATCTAAGGACATGGTATTGGCCTTGGGTAAGGTAGAGGCCATCAGAAACAAAATGTACAGACTTGCTGGTGGCTAGATGTCCTACACGCAGGCTATGCAGTAGATCTGGTAGGCTTCCAGGACCTGCTGCGCTTAGAGGTGAGGGGAATTTAAAAGAGGTAAGACGTATCCCCAGAGCCCGCAACAGCTGGTTGTGGGATAGTGCAACTTCAGTGGTTTGAAGGACTTCAGAACTGAAGTCATCTGAGTGAGGTTTGGGCAATACAATATGGGGGAACAAGGGTGGTAGTGGAGGTATTTGGCTTTTTTGGTTTCTTGGGCTGAGCCTTTTTAGACTGAGCCTCAGCTGTAGCCAATTTCTTCTTCCTCTTCTGCACTGTTTTTGGTGCTTTAGATGTGGATGATTTGCCCCCAGTTTTGAGGTTATGCATTGAGGGATGTTGGCCTGGCCTGATTCAGAGACCTGCACCTCAATATACTTGTTGGAGGAAGCATCAATCTCTGAGGCTCCCCACGGCGGATTTGTTGTGTTACTGAGGTGGAAGTTGTGCGAGCTGAATATTCTGATAAAAGTACTGGTGGCCTGGAGGGGCTTCTCCCACAGGTAGAACTTCAAGCAAGTCTATCGGTATCAGATTGTGACCTTAGTAAATGTTTGGCAAAACTGACAATGTCGCAATAGGTGATGCTCACGTAAACAACACAAACACTTTGAATGTCCCTCCATGAGGGAGGATTTTATTCTTACAGTCCACACTGTAAGGCCTATGGGTGCCATAAAAAGAAGCAGAAATGACTGTTAACTGCAAAGTGTCAAATGAGAGAAGATAAAAAATACTGAACTAACTTCTATTTTTTTTTAAAGAAACAGAAACAACCAAAGTGAGAGAGAGAAAGGTAAGACGTAAAAACAATACACAGATCACATACACATGATCTAACTGTAGAGGAAAGGTGACAGGTTCTGAGAAGAACTCCTGAGGCTCTCTCTCAGTGGCGGTAAGAAGGGAACTGGGGACAATCCTTGGGGTGGGGGAGTATGGGCAATGAACAAGATGCGTTTTAACATTCTCTACAGGCTCTTGAAGATTTTGAGGTCATTCACACAGAGAACAACTCAAGTGTGATTTCACAGAGACAATGAAGAACTTCGTTTTACAAGTAAAAACAGGGAGGAAGTGAAAGAAACAATTAAGAGGACGTAAAAGGGTCCCTTACGTCACAGATTGGCACACCCTGCAAGATCAATGGATATATTCCTCAGTTCCCCCAAGGGCCACATATTGATGGCAGTGGATGGGTTCAGAGGCAAAGTACATAGAAGCTCAGTCAAAGGAAAGCATGGACATCTTTTTCCCTCTTTTTCTCCTCCCCCTTGCCCTAGCTCAGACATTCATCATCCATCTATACTATTTCCCATTTATACTCACAGTCTCTCCCTCTCTCTCTCTCTCTCTCTCTCCCCCCCCACACACACAGACTTTCTCCCTTGAGACCCTCAACCTCTCCATATTCTCAGCCTTCTTTGCCATCTGCCTGCTCCACTCCTGCTTCTCTTTAATTCTTTCTTCTCCTGCATGAGCTCTGAGATTAAACCAGAGAACTCAAAAGTTCTAGATGACCATCTGAGTATGGGCACTATGTGGGGGTGAGTCCCAGTGCACTTGATGGCCTTCTTTTTTCAGCAGATGCAATTATGTACTGGGAATACTGAGGGGATGAGGATGCAAATGCTCTTCTCTATGGAACTACAGTGGTGCCTCACATTATGACGTTAATTCGTTCCAGCGAAATTGCTGTAGAACGAAAACATCGTAATGCAAAATTAAAAAGCCCATTAATGCGTTCCTAGGGGCTTGAAACTCACCGTCCAGCGAAGATCCTCCATAGCGCAGCCATTTTCGCTGCCTGTGCAGCGAGGAATCCATCCCAGAAAAGAGCGGGGAGCCATGTTTTTTACCCGGCGGCCATTTTGAAACCGGCAATCAGATGGCCAAAAATCATCGCTTTGTGAGAATCGGTTCCAGAAGCAGGGAACTGATCATCGCAAAGCGAAGTTCCCCCATAGGAAACATTGTTTTGTTATTGCTTTTGCAATTGCAAAACCTTCAACGTAAAGCGATTTCGTCGTAAAATGGAGCGCTTGTAATGCGAGTGTTCTTCTTTCCCCAACAAAAAAATAACATGCAGGTTGTACAGAAGGGAGATAGCTGTTGGTTACAAGTTACTTGGTAAGAAGAACATATTGGGGGCATTTTAGTCAGACCTTCGGAGCAGAAACATATAGCAATGGAAGAAAATCACACATAAACTTAAGGTGATCCCCAAAGAAAAAGGGTATTGCCTTTAGTGTTGCTAAGGTTCAATTTTGCTAAATTTACGGGGGTCTACAGACCCTTGCATTTCCCTGCCCCATATTCCGTAAACTTAATTTTTTTCAAAAATTATATTTTAGCCACTAAAAGATACAATGTTTAAATTTCTGTTTAAAAAAGTTAAATCCAGTTTTCAGTTTTAATGACAGGTTGCTTACCTTTAGTGTTAACTGTAGTTCTTCAAGTGGTCAACTGTGAAGTCAGACTATTACATTCATGCCTACGCAGAGCCAATCTTTGGAACCTTTCAGAGCTAAGATCCCTCCCTCCCTCCATTATTTTGGTGGGAACCCAGCCTGCCTCCTACACCATGCATGTATAGTGCACCCTAGAAGACTGGCTACAGTTGCAGACCACCAGAAAAGGGTAGACACTGGGGAGGTGGGCAGGACACGTGACTCCACCAATGGCCACTCAAAGGCCCACAATTATACTGAAGGTAAGCAATCTGTTCTTCTCTATGAGGATCACACCACTGGGAGACTGGAAGCTGACTTACTGGAGGTGAGTGTGTCACTGCAGTATGGAGGAAAGGACCACCTTGCCTCTTCTTGTATCTTGGCAAGAAGTCAGGTGCAGACAGTAGTGCCTAATAAATGTGCAAGGCTGTGCCCAGGTGGCTGCTTTACAGATGTCATTTAGGGGCATGCCTCGGAGGCTAGAAGATGCACTGATCTGATTGAGTGAGATCTGAGCCCTTGGGAACATGACACATGGAAGATCATAGGCCAAAGAAGATGTGCTCAGTGATCCAGTGGGCAAAATGTGGGATGATATTGATATGCCCTTTCTGCAGCCACATTAACAAACAAAAAGATGAACAGATTTTCTAAATGGCAAGTTACTGGAAATGTAGAAGCTCAGAGCTTTCCTAACATCAAGGGTGTGCTGGAGAGGATAAGCAAATCCAACTGTTAGGATGGAGTGGGTTAAAAGACCCGAGTAACTCATAAGGATGTGGGGTCAGGCAAATTGTGTTACCACTGTAGTGGAAGCCATCAGTCCCAGCAGACACTGGATGGTGAGAACAGAGTAAACTCTAGCAGCATGGATGGATTCTGGGAGAAGGCTGTGAGGGCTACCTCTTGACTGAGGTGAAGATATCATCTTAAGGAGGAAAGAAACATCTATCTAGCTGTAGCACAATCTTGTCAACATGAAAAATAAGGTAAGGGGAGTCAGAATGAAAAACACGGATCTCAGATGGCAGAGGTGACTGCAACGAGGAAAGCCATTTTTCAGGCAAAGAGGTAGATAGAGCAGGCAGCCATAGGTTCAAAGGGTGGGTACATCAGGTCAGGTGTGTGAAAACCAGTTAGAGACGAAGGGGGAGCAAGGCAAGCAAACATCAGAAGCAAGGTTTCTAAGTTGCCAAATAAACCTCTTCCCTAGTGGATCAATGAAGAGGGAAGAATGATGATGCACTGAAATCGCAGCTACATCTTGATGGAGCACAAAGAAGGAGTTCTATCTTTCAGTTAGAGGAACTGTAAAACTTGAAGAGCTTTCACAGGACTGTGGAAAGGACAATTTCTCCTGGGCAACTGAACAAAACTTTTTTCCATTTTGCTGATTAGGAAGAGAAGGTGAAGGGCTTCCTGGGAACCTATAACACTTCTAGAACTGGCTAGTGAGATCCTCAAACTGTCAGTCACAGGGACTGTAGATCTCAGTGACAGACTGACTGATTGTCATGGGAGATGATGTCCAGTCACTGTGGTAGGATGTGGGACAGTTGCAAAAGGGGGATGAACCACAGCTCAAATTTGGGCTCAAAGGAGTGATCAGGATGGTGTGGGCTCTTCTTTATTGAAGATGAACTACTACACAGGAGAACTGGGGAGACTGGAGGAACCATGTAGAGAAATCCCCTTGTATACAGGATTGTGACAGCACTGCCCTCCAAACCAGGGCCAGTCGCCGCTCTACTGCGGAACCTGTGGCACATTCTCTTGTGTGGTGTGATGAAGGCAATCATTGTGAGTTTGCCCCATTTCTCCAGCAGGATTTGGAAAGCAAGAGAGTGGACTTCCCATTTGTAGACCAAACAGGACGTCCTGCTGAAGGCATGCACTGGCGAGACTGTTCTGGGAGCCCACCAGGAGCGTAAGGGACAGGAAGAGTAGAACAAATAAACATTACTGTCTTCCTTGTTTACATAATGCATGGTGATTGTGTTATCAATTACAACTTGGATCCCTTTCCCTGCAACCAGATGGACAAAAGCATGGTGCACTTTGGAAACTGCCAGAAGCTCCAGGGCACTAATGTGAAAGCTGCCTTCCCATAGCCTCCACTGGTATTATATTCAAAAGCCATTGCAGTGTGTCTAAGTGTTGAGGCATCTGTAGTGATGGTGATGACCAGACACAGTGGTAGGAAGGGCATGTCATCTTGCAAGTTGGGAAGAGACATCCACCACTTGTGGATGCCGGAGAGGTTAGGCAAATCCAACTGCTATGATGGAGTGGATTAAATGACCTGAGTAGCTCATTTTAAGGGATGTGGAGTCAGGCAAATCGTGTTACCACTGTAGTGAAAGCCATCAGTCCCAGCAGACACTGGGTGGTGAGAACGGAGGAAAATCTGTGATGTGATACCATGAGGGCCAGATGGACAGTGTGCATTGTGCAATGTGTCTCTTAGGAGGATGGCTTTTGTTGTGCCTGCATTGAGGCAGGCACCAAGGTATGAAATGCATGGGGATGGGGTAAGATCCAATTTTCATTTGTTGACTCAGGGTCCTAGAATGTGAAGGCACTGCAGAGCAAAATGAAGGTGATGGAGAAGACATAACCAGAAGCCTGCCACCAGGAGGCAGTCACTGATGTACAGAGATGTACACCCTTAGTTCGAAGGAATGCCATCACTGATTCCTTGCACTAGGTAAAAATGTAAGGGGTTATGGCGAGGTCAAATGGGATGATGCAGAATTGGAAGAGATCTTAGTTCCATGGTGAATTAAAGACAATGCCTGTAGGTAGAGCTAATGGGAGTATGAAAATAGCCTTTTAGGTCGATGGAAGCAAACTAGTCTCCTTGCTGCTGAAAGAGGATGGAGGAAAGTATCACCATCTGAAACTTTCTGTTGAAGTTGTACTGGATGAGCCATCTTAGACCCAGAATAGGTCTGAGTATGCCATCTGATTTTGGAATGGTGAAGTAGAGGGAGAAGAACCCAGTGTTATAGCGGTGGGGTGATGACAGGCTGGACTGTCCCCCTGGCCAGGAGAGAGACACTTTCCTGTGGCAACTGGGTGGGACGGGGACAAAGCGGCTGAACAAAAATTTCCCATCAGTGGAAGGGTACTGAACTTGATAGCATAGCCCTTCTATACAATGATCAGCTGAAAAGGCAGCAAGTGTGACAGTGAAGGACAGTTTTGGAAGAGGGCCTTAGCCTTAGTGGCCGTGTGAAGATACAATATACAAACTAATGAAAAACAAAACAGAGGAAAGGGAGAAAAAGAAGTTCAATATGAGGAAGAAATGAAATGAACAGGGAGAAAGCAAGAATAACCAAATAGTAGCTCAGCAAATGTTCCAAGTTGCTGATCTTCCCAGGCTGGGCAGTTGAGAGTTCTGACCCTGAGAGAGGCCTGGAAAGAGAGAACCAGAAACTGGGCCTTCTCGGCGGTTGTTCCTCAGCTCTGGAACAAGCTCCCACCACAAACCCAATAGTGTCATTCACAAAGACCACAAAGAACCACCCTATTATCTTTATAGCACATAAGCATGGCTTTAAAATTTTAAATAATTACCAAAAAAACGCAGATTAGCCTCAGATACAGTATGCCTAACCAGTGTAGAATACCAATCCGGTTAGACCAGGGTGGACAAGCCTGGTGGATTTGGGCCAATTTTTTGTCCCTACGACTCACTGGGGCCTCAAGGATGTTCCAAAACAAACAAACAGCCCCAAACAGAAAACAAAACCAGAAGTGGCTGAAGTCCATTTCTAGTATAAAAATATAGTGAACATCTGTTGTGTGCATGCATGTAAAATGGTTCAGAGGAGTCTTGTGAAATTTTCAAGTCATAAACTGCTATCCCTGAAGCTTCTATGAGTGATACTTGAACTCTTTCTGGGAAAGAGTGGTCTGGGGGCAGAACATAGGATCTGAAAAGGGTCATGTTCCTAGTCCACATTTTCAACACCCTCAGGGCAACTGCAAGGTTCAATATTCTGAAACTCCCAAGACATCTCCTAGTAGTAGTCTACACTGGTAGCATACTAGTACTCCATAATAAATGCAACATCCAATCTCAACACATTTCAAAGTAGTTCAAGCCAGTTTTACATCGTTATAATGATAAAATAAAAATCAGTCTTACTTGTGAAGCACTTGTTGTACACACAGTCCCTGCATTATTTGGCCTAATAGTTACAGTTGCTGTCCTTGGCTGGAATGAAGTAAATGTTTGCTGGTTTGCTCCTGTTGTCGATGGAATGATACCCAAGACTTTCTGCTGGACTTGAACTACACCTATTAGGAAAATAATGTTTCTATTTAAAAACACTACTGTACAAGGTCACAAGTTAACACCTTCATATTAACACCCTTCATATTAACACCTTTTCTATGAATGCACAGTGCCAGGTAGCATCCACTTAAATAAGAACACCACAACACCCTAAATGCACAACTGTAGAACACAACAGACTATGTTTAGTGTAAAGTTTGCAACCTCGCACCGTTAATTTAATTTGTAACAAAAAAAACCTCATAACCCTTCTATCAGATAACATACAGAAGGGCCCTACAAACATAATGTCTGTCATTTTAATGATTGGGAGTCTGAGAGCAGCTTTCCCAACCTCAAGAAATTTCATATGATACAGCAGCACCAATATCAAGGCTAACTAGTTTCTCAATGTATTTCTTAAGCTGGTTAGCATGAAAGGAGGGAAAAGCATGAAGGATGCAGCATGTATATTAATGGATTAATCCTGCTCTGAACCACCATTAAGAAAATCTAAACGTTAGGTATCCAACAGTACCTGAATAAGTCAATTTTTTCCCCAGATCAAGGTGAGAAAAGAGGGTTAAATACAACTAAAAGCATTACAGCACAGGTGCCAAGCCATATTGTTGTGGACGTTTCCTAACACACCAAAAGGCTGAAAAGCGGCCTTGAAACTCTGAAATAAGTCTATTGTTTTCTAGATGAGGCAATGGCATGCAAGATTCTGGGGGTCATTAAAGGGACATCAAGAGGTATATAATTTCATGTGACAGCTCCCAATGAAAAACCTAAAAAAGTCAAGAGAACACCTTTCTGCTTTTAAAAAGTATATCACAGGTTCTACCCGGAAAGTACCCAAATTAACAAAAAACAAAACCAAGAACAAACAAAAAAAACCCTTAGTTTTATTACATGCTCCTACCTCCTTGAGTAGCTGGTACGTTAACAGCTACAATCTTGCTATTTGCTGGGAGAGGCAACTTTGTGATCACTTTCCCTGCCATTGTTACTGGACTGCTTGCAATCTGGAAAGTCTGGCCACTGCTGGATATGGCTGTTGCTGAAGTTGCTGCTGTGCTCGTTGCTAGTAGAACAGAAATGGTGGTCAGCTTCTGATTCTAACGAATTAGTACTTTAATGGAGGAAAACACCACTCTGGCTGCCTTGCATTTGCTGCCCGTTCGTTTCCGCATTGATTTCAAAGTATTAATGATGACATATAAAGCCCTAAAAGGTTTTTGTTGTTGTTCATGTTTAGTCGTTAAGTCATGTCTGACTCTTTGTGACCCCATGGACCAGAGCACGCCAGGCCCTCCTGTCTTCCACTGCCTCTCGGAGTTGGGTCAAATTCATGTTGGTCACTTTGATGACACTGTCCAACCATCTGGTCCCCCTCCTCCTCTGTCGTCCCCTGCTCCTCTTGCTTTCACACTTTCCATCAGGGACTTTTCCAGGGAGTCTTCTCTTCTCATGAGATGGCCAAAGTATCCAGCTCTCACTTCCATACATCGCTACTGGAAAAACCATAGTTTGACTATGCAGACCTTTGTTTGCAAGGTGATGTCTCTGCTTTTTAAGATGCTGTCTAGGTTTGTCATCGCTTTCCTCCCAAGAAGCAAGCGTCTTTTAATTTCGTGCCTGCTGTCACCATCTGCAGTGATCATGGAGCCCAAGAAAGTAAATCTGTCACTGCCTCCATATCTTCCCCTTCTATTTGCCAGGAGGCGATGGGACCAGTGGCCATCTTAGTTTAAATGATTTAGGACCTCAATATCTAGCGGGACACCTCCTCCCACCTAGATCTACCTGAATCACTCATTCTAGCCAGGAGGGACAGCTGAGGGGCCTAACACTCAGGGAAGCCCGGAGAGAAAGAACAAGAAACCGGGCCTTCTCTGCAGTAGCCTCTCGCCTCTGGAACAGTCTACCCCCCAGAAATTTGCCTGGCTTCCTCATGGGTGTTTTTAAGAGCAAACGTTAAGATCTGGCTCTTTAGGCAGGCCTTCCCTCCTGTAATTACTTAATTTTGCCATCTTGAATTATATTATGTTGTTGTTTTATTTTTATACTGTTATTGTTTTTATGAATGTGCTGTTAGCTGCCCAGCGTAGACTTCGGTCTAGATGGGCGGGGTATTAATTAATTAATTATCATTGGTGCCTGCCATATTTTTGTATCCCCGAAACTGCTGAGTAACATATTTGTGTTTTATAAAATATGGTGTAACTGCACTTAAGATATATAGTTAGTACACAGCTGACCTGGCTCAGCCATGAAAACTTAGTGGGAGGCAGCAGTGGTGGTAAAATCGCACCTTAAGCAGCTCACATTTCTTGAAATCCCCCTTCAGGTCCCCATAATTTGAATGTGACTTGACAGCACTGGAAAACTACAATAGCTGCATTTAAAATTTTTGGTATTTTAAATGCTTCCTTGAAGAAGGAAGATGTTTTTGTTTGCAAGCAGAGCAACTGGGAAAAGGGTAAGATGGAAGTTTCTAGATTAGAAGTGGCTGACAAAGTGAATAAAGGCATTCATTTTAAACCCACCATAATCAGCAAGTTCATCCAGTGAACATTTCCAGGTTAGAAAATTTCCAGTCCTTCTCTTTTTAAAGGATGCACTGCTGTTGCACAGTTTAGAAGTATAGCTAGTAATTGTTATTACAAAATGTGGAATTCCAATAAAAATAGGAAAGCAGATGCAATCCTGAACAGGGAGCATTCTATAGGTGACATTTTGATGTCAGTCTCACTCAACTTATAATTCGAAACAATTAATTCTGAATTCTCTGGACACTGGTTTTTCTACAGCCAAAGGAAAAGTATCCTTGCCCAGGAGTGAGCCATGGACTGACCGAAGTACAAAAATATCTTTCCCAGTAGGGTGAACCAAGAATGGATGGAGAACTCTCTTAAATGAAGACTACATTCACTGACTATGAAGTACTAACTACAGAGGTAGATTAACTTCTGTATGCACTTAAAACAGGAAACTCAGATCACTGTGTTGCAGGTCCTATCGTTAAGATGTCATTGGCCACGATACCTAATAGGAAACTCTATGCTTGGAAGAAGTACACATTTATTTCCCAAACATTCCCTATTTATCATTACCAGCCACTACCTTTCAAGACTTCGGTCATCACTGACAATTTCTTCAGTGTCTCTTCAAGGAGACACATCAGAGATGCATACAGCAACTAACACATATAAAGTTACACATGGCACACTGACCAACTGCAGTACTAATAAAAACCTGAATACTGCACTCAGTCATCTCATACAATCATTCATATGACTACCTCCACAAGTGTGAACAAATGCTTGCAGCCAGAAGGTGCTAAGGTGAAGATTTCCTACGTAAACTGGCACCTCCAAGTGGAAGGTGCTCATGGTAATCTGTGCAAAAGCAGAGGACCTTTTTCAGCTGCTGTTCACACAATGGAAATACCATTCAGACTTCCTAGGAAGGTCTCTGAGCTGCAAGATTAGCAGTACTCTCCTATACTCTGAGAAACGATTGCTATGAGGTGTCTTGGGACCAAGTCTCACCTCAAAATTTCAGAGCATTACCCCTTTCTGTTCCAGCCAGCAGTTGCTGGTGGACTGTCTGATGCAGGAACCACCTCAAATACTGTGTATCAAAATCTAGCATTATGCATACATATGTGAAGTCTAACCTGATCACTTACCTGTTGAAGGCTGACCTTGCTTAACCCAAGTAGCAAATGTCTGGTGGAAATTTTTGCTCTGTTGGAATGTTACTGTAGCTGGAGATCCCACTTTGGTAGCTAGTACCACTTTGGCTCCGCTGGGCACAGAACGTGGTAACGAGCTTACCACAACCTTCTGGGGAGTGGAGACAGTGGTTGCTGCACTACTTGTTGTTGTAGCTGTAGCGGCACTACACACTGCAGGCGATTGCTTCTGTTGTTCCAGTCGCTTCTAAGAGTTACAAATCATAATGCAATGAAGAACAGCCCACTTAATAAGATCAGCTCTTACTTTATAATAAAAACTGAAATCGTACAATGCTTGTTAAGAAGCCAAACCATCAAACATCACAGGACATGCTACTGAATGAACATGCACAGGATGACACTGCATGCTTAACAAGTCATTCCATTAATTTTAAAAGATTTTTTTTTAAAGTGGGTTTCCAATGTAATTGCAGACACAGCTAACAACCTGAAAGCTCCAAAAGAACAAGTATTTACAAGCTGTAAATTGCTAAGCACTGGAGCCCTGAAAAGATCAGAGCTGGCATACCACAGCACCAAAGCGGGGGAATCTACTTTGAATCTTTTATCTACTATGAACTCTTCAGGAAGCCTTTTGGAAACAAACTCGCAGCTCAGCCTAAACAGACAATCTGCAGATGACAATGATAATGTGCCGTAGAATGTTAAGATAATAGGTTGGATCCAGACTTGTTCCTCTGCAAACTGAACAGCGTTTTCTGCTTGCAGAGAAAACAAGGATGGGGAGGGGGGATTTTGCTGATATGTTTTTGCCTTTTCTCTCTCCCTGTCATCTTCTAGTACACTATTCTGAAGAATTGGCAGCCTCTGTAAAGCAGATCCGAGAAGCACTGAGGGCTGCAAGGGGGAAGAGAGTAATCAGTAAGTCAACCCCCCTCTACAAAACCATGTGTGGTTTGCCATGTTACATCTCTGGGTTCAGTTTACTATATGTGAAATATTTTGAATAATATTACTTTATTCTTCACCACTGTACTGCTCACATCTCTTCAGAGCTGTGACGGAAAACATAACTACTAACACTGTTAGGTATATAAAAACAGAAAAATCAGATATCATGAATGAATAAATGCTCCCAATGTTAGATACTATACTGTTTAAACTATGAAAAAGCACTCTGAGGTGTCATCCCAGCTCTATCAATAAGACATTTTGCACTGCTCTTATTATTTTGGAGGGCATTTCCTAGTTAATTTTTCCAGCTTTTTTGTTCTTGTTTCTGCTTCTATTCATCATTTTAGTTATTGTAATATTTTATCTTGATATTTTATATTTGGGTAGGCATTTTGTCTAAAAGGAGGATATAAATGTTAAATGACTGTCACATAAAATGGGCGACAAAATGTTGAAAGAAGCTGAGAAGAATGACACAGTTCTTTACTGGACAAACAGGACGATATTATGATGGACAGATTCTGTGTCTTAATTTTTACACACAAATCAAGTAAATTAATTTCCATTCCAACATGGAAGCATCTCTTGATTACATACTTGGTAAGGAGCCAAAATTAATAGCATCACATCTAGACAAATTAGCTATCATCATAAGTTCTACCCTAACTCTCTTTGTAAGAGAATTTGGATTGCAAATAATGTTCCAAGGAGCCAGTCCAATTTTACAGCACGTTGGTTACAGAAGTTATTAAAATGATAAAATTTAATGTAGCAATGTATGATTGCTATAGGGATATGTACGTTTCTGCCCATATGAAAATGGCAGGAAAAACAGCTAAGGAAGAGACACTTCCATGTTTACGTTTGGATGCACGAATGTGCAAACAATGTAAACTTCAACAGGCCAGACGACTAAGAGGCTACCCCACCTGCTGGGCAGCTAATCGCTGTTGTTTTAGTTGAGCCTCCATTTGGGCCTTGAACTCCTCGGCCTTCTTCAGTTCACTAACCTTAGCCTGTTGCTCAACTGCTTGTGCCTTTTCCTTCTCCACTCTGCCAAAGAGATAAACCAAAAATTAACACTAGACTTTGTGTTAACGATTATCGAGAACTCAATTTAATATTACATGAAGCCATACTTCAGCTTAACAGTACACTGCATTATAATTCAGACCATTTTCTAATGCTCGTACTTTGAACTTCCCAGATCTACCTCTCTGTGAACAGAAGGGCTTCTTCCATTCATGGAGAACAAGCATACTTCATTCATAGAGGCCTTCCACTGGAAGAAGGTAGTAAGGAATGATATTCTCAGACACCCACTTCCCTGACTGCCACCAGCACCACAGAGCAAGCTCTTTGTACATGAGACATATATGAACCGGAACATGGGAAATCAGAGAAAATCACCATGCTGCCTTCTGCCTTCTAGCACAAGCAGAACTCCACTTAGTACAAACCTGGAGCCAGTCATATATTCCAGCATTCTTGTCAGAATATTTTCAAACTGCACATTTGCTCACACTGACTGCCTGGCATGCCTCCTGCCCAGCATAGCCAATTCTCTAGCTGAATTGTTTTAATGTCAGGAGGAAGTGTTTCAACAACAGAATCTTGACCAGAAGGGTCAAATTTGGATAGGCTTAACACCTTGAAAGGAGATGCAGTTAGAACATACAGTTAGAATTGTATTGCTAAGCAAAGAAGAAAATTAGGACTAAAGCTCAAGCTGTAAAATGGAAGTCCCTACATTAATGTCTGATGAAGTAAACTGACAAATCAAAAAACAGGAAGGAAGTGTGTGGGGAGTGTCAAAGTGAAATCAAAACATAGAATGCAAGGGCACCCAGTGGTACTGCAAGAAAGAGACAATGAGAAAGAACAGAGAAGCTGAGGTTTGAAAAGGGATATGAAAAGATAGGCAGATGATAAACCAGGCAGTAAGCTGAAAGTCTTGGACATGAGTGGAGGAACCAGAAAATTGAAAAGTAGAGGAAAGTACACTTAAGGAAAATTAGTGCCAAGACTAGAAAGATAATCCAGTCAGAAGGTAATGGTTTATGCAAACAGTTGGAGAGACTAAGGTGCAGGGAATAAAAAAGGGACCACAATTTTTTTCACCTTAACTTAATATACCAATTCCCACATATCTGGGTTCAAGTCTCTAAGATTTTTTTCTTATAACACTCTGACGACAAAGAACACAAATCAAAACACATCTATTCACCAATGTAGCTTTGTTCAGTTTCTACTTGTAAACTACACATGGAGTTCAAAGTCTTCCCCCACCCCACCCCCAGTTTTAGTTTTAAATACAACATCCATCAATGCTGATGCAATATTCATTCAGCTCAATATGACACAAACAAATCAAAATACTTCATTCTGTTGGCTTACCTTTCAGAAAATGCTTTTATTTCCCATAGCTCCAATTCTTCCTCTGCTACCCAAGTTTCAATTATAACTGGGCCTGTTTGCTTTGGAGTCTCTGGCCTTTTAGGCCTCAATGCACTTGATCGAAGACCTTTCCTTTGAGGTGTAGGAGTTTCTATAGAAAAAATTATATGAATAGTTAATTTATACATAAATCAAGCCTGAGGTCATAAAAAGTAACACCTCGAGTGGCTACACCGCTTTCAAGCCAGTCAAGAGTCTGTATGCATGCTTACCTTTTGGAGCCTCCGGAACACCAATAGGACAAATAATTTTTCGTATGCAGTATTCTGATCGAATTCCATATGGTCCAACATCTCTCCGCTTGATTATTTCAGTTGTTGTAATTTCTGTTTCTGTTGTTTCTATAAAATATTATTCCAGAAGATTCTTTCATTAAGTTCTTGCCACCATTACAGGGGCACTGTGGAAACACTAATATTTGAGTTAAAAGTGCACATGGTACAGATGTAATATGAATTGTAATAAACAATGTTGTTCTCATATATTTATAATATCAATGTTAAAATATAGAATACAGAAAAATTCATAATAAAAAAGAAATGAAACATTCAAGTGCAGTGACATCACTGGAACTTTATACAACTGAAATATCTAGTCTGCCTTTTGGCCATAAGGCCCTTGAGACGGCATAAATAAGCACATTATTTTAAAGAACAAGAATTAAAAGAGAGAGCAATAAAAATGTCAAAATATGACAATCCCAGCCAGAGCTTTATATACAAGCTGCGACAGCAATAGGTTTGGGGTTACTAAGATTTCTGAACTATCGAATCTTAACTAGATCTTGTTCCCAAGTAGAACAGAAATATGTTCCCTGTTGGCTAAAAATGGAGGAATAAAAGAGTTCCATCACTTGGATGCTTCCATGCCGCAGGACCTTGCATAGTACAATGAACTTAGTATATACGGCTTGGGTCCACGCTATCTGAAGGATGGTATCACACCATACGAGAGAGACTTTTTGGCTTTTAAGATCTTCTAGAGAGGTCCTTCTCTTGGCTCCACCAACTTCCCAAGCTCCTTTGGTGAGGACATGAGAGAGGGCTTTGGAATGCACTGCCCTGAGAAGCCAGGTTGGCTTTCTACCTCTTTCCTTCAGTCCTCAGGCAAAGACCTTCCTCTTCAGGAAGGCTTTTAAGCAGTAAGCTATATCAGGAATGCTGGGTTTTAACTTACAGATTATTCATGTTTTTCAACTGTTTTAAACTTGATGTTTTAATCTTAATATATTGCTTTTAAAATATGCTATTTTATTTATACAGTGTTTTTTAAATGTTTTTTGAATTGCCTTGGGTCCCCTATGGGGCGAAAGACAGTATATAAATAATTTAAATAAATAAAGTAGCAAGGTGGAGTGCCATTTTTGGGACCAAATAAGTACCTATGGTAGAAAAGTGACATATACAGGCAACGAACTAAATACTAACAGTTACACATTTGAGTCTGATGTGAACAGTGTAACTTTTGGCAGCACACTAATAGCCTCTTTTGGACTTTAAGTATGGCAGGAGCAACAATACTGCAGCTGTGTTCTTGATCAACTGACATTTAAAATGGCACTCAAGGGCGGCCCCAATGAAACTCTTTAAAAGAATTAATCTCCGGCCTGGGTCTAGACACTATGGAAAAAAAATGCATATAGCTATTTGCATCCCCCCCCCAAGGAACTGAAGCTTGTTAAAAGTTTCTTCACACGATTGTAGACACTTTTGTGTCCAACTTCAGGTCTGGGTATTCTCTAAGCTGTGGATGTAATTCTTAACAGGGAGTACAGCCCTATCCAAAACAGGACATACTCCCAACTGCAGAAGGCACCTCACTCCAAATTGGTAGGTGACCAATCCTGAAGCAGTTTCATAGAGATGGTAAAACAGCATGGGAAACAAGACAGGACCTTGTAGAAACCATATTATAAAACCAAGAGTAGAACCTCTATCTTTCCAGAAATACCTTCTGGAATGTATCAGCCCTTTAGGGACAGAACCAAGGTAATACAGTACTTTTAACCCTGCTTCCAAATCCTGGAAAATAAGGTCAGTACTGTAGTACCAAAAGCTGCTATGAGGTTCAGGACAATAACCCACGCTCCCACCCACAGCAATCTCCCTGTCAGTAAAGGTTGCTTAAGAGCCTGGTCCTAAGTCAATGACAAACTGAAAGGCATTACAGGATTTTAAGTGTGCCTCAACTTCAGCCATGTTGAAGTGAATTTATCCACGACGTTAACATTTTTCAAAATACTGATGCCATAAAAACAAACACTCATTTCAAATGGTTCCACTCTTGTAGTATACCATACATTTTGAAAGAATTTCTAAATATTAACACAATTAAAATTCTCCTTTAAAAATGCTACCTGTGCGTGTAGTTCCTCCACCAGGTGGGGGTTTTGCAGCCATGTCATCCCACTTTAGACAGGCCCAGAGTAACCTCAACATAAGGCTAACCCCAGCCAAAGATTTTACAGTTTGAAGTCGATACCTGGGAAAATTTATAAAGAATATCACACACTGCACACTTTTTCTACTCTCTTAGTCTAAATGCCACAGGTCCCAGAAAGAAAGATGAGGTTTTAATTTCAAACACCATTTAAAATCTAATGTATTTTTGCACGAGTGAAAGCACATACAGTGGTGCCTTGCTTAACGATTACCTTGCTAAACGACAAAACAGCTTGACGATGAAGTTTTTGCGATCGCAAAATGATGTTCCTATGGGTAAAATTTGCTTCATGTTGATCAGTTCCCTGCTTCGGGAACCGATTTTTCGCTAGATAACGATTTTAAAACAGCTGATTGGCAGCTCTAAACTGGCCACCCGCTGTGCAAAATGGCTCCCCGCTGTGCTTTAGGAGGATTCCTCGCATTACAGGCACCAGAAAATGGCCGCCCTATGGAGGATCTTCGCAAAATGAGCAGGTATTTCGACCATTGGAACGCATTGAACCGGTTTTAAATGCATTTCAATGGGTTTTAAATTTTCGCTTGACGAGGATTTCGCTTAACAGCGATCTGAACAGAATGAATTATCCTCGTCAAGCGAGGCACCACTGTACAAACATATATACATATGCAGTCCTGCACTGCCACATACTGAATTTCATTAATTTAAAAGTAAGCTTTAGAAACCCAAACAAGCCCAAAATATTTCTTGAACAGGGGGTACCTAGCTGACTTTCTCCCACACTTATGTACAAAAATACAGTCTTAGATTAACTATGAATTGGAAGCGGTGGATGTTAACTTGAAATCTAAGAAGTAGGTGTTCTTGCAGCAGTTGTGATGACCCTGACATAAGAAAGGAACATGATCTAAGACAACGAAAGCAATGGCCTATGAAAGCAAAAATTAGCATTTTGGAAGTGTGGGCAATGTTCCCTCTAAGCTGCATGGGTTCATAGCTGTGTACCCACAGCCAGTGTTGTCATACATTTGATTCTGGTGTTTACTCTGATACAGTAATCTTTTAGTGTTTCCAATATTAAAAAGTTCCCACCAAGGCCTTTGGAATATTGTCAAAATAAGAATCATGCCAATTTGAAAATGCATTCACAATTTTATGTGATCTACAACAGCGCATGTGACAGTACCAGTGCACTTGCCTAGCTATCTCACACATGCTCCCCCTCTGTAAGGAAGATGAGTTACGTAGCATGAGGGAACAAAGCTGGTTTGCACCGCTATCTCACACATGCTCCCCCTCTGTAAGAGTTACGTAGCATGAGGGAACAAAGCTGCTTTGCACGACAAAATTGGCTGGGCCAAAAGGCTGCTTGGTTTCTCAAGGAAGAGTTTTCCCCATCCCTGACAGGCGTTTTTCCACATGGGCACCAAGCAAGTTGGGGCAAAGCCCATTCTTGTCCAAAAAAAAAAAAAAAGCATAGAAGTTGAGATGTCAACCCCCTTGTAAACAACATGTTTTTTAGCAAGTAGAACGGGACTGCTTGATGAATAAACCTTTTTCAGAAGGCTTCTTCCTTTGTATTTCAGCAAATGCAGTGAGACCCATGATGGTGGATTAACCATCCCACGCACCTGCCCTCAGCAGTCAATGCATGGTGATGCCAAGGGAAACTTTCCAAAATCCCCAATGTGCCCATAGGCCCTGTCCAAGCTCCCCAAGACAGCCTCTAACTTATAAAAAAGGAAGAAGCATAAGGCCTCATGATGAAAATCATGCACACAGAAATCTCCACAGAATGCAATCCTCCATTTTATGGCTATTTCAGCCCTTCTCTCCATGCCTTTCTTTAAATATAGAAGCACATATTTGCTTCTTGCTTTGAAAGAAGGGGTGAGGTGCATCCAGCAGATCATGGAAAATGGGGAGGGTAAAGTTTTCTGACTCTGCATAGATGCTCACCCTTGTTGTGGAAGATAATCTAACAATAACCACTTTTATGGTGTGTAAGGTAATTTATGCTACATGCATTTTAACTGGCTCAAACCAAAGGGACAGACACTTCTGTGTGAGGGTCTTGAGCACTTTCAGCATATTTGAGACTTACAATATATAAACCAACTGCTCACCATCTCTAGTGCACAAAGACTACAGGTATTCCCTCATGCAATACCACTCATATGATCTGAAAATATATTAAATTCAGTGGGACAACAAGACAGCCTTTTTGCTTGAATTTGCATGCAGAAAAATGTTCCTGTTAAATGAGTACAATTTAAATATCTGGGAATCAAAATACCTGTATACCAGACCTAATATTTAGAAAGCTGGTAACTGAGGTGATAAACTTCATGCTAAATTATGATGATGACAAATAGTGATTATTATTTACAATGTTTTGCAATGTAATTTTCCACCACTGGAATTAGTTTAAAGGATTATTAACACTGTACCTCCAAGTGATACCAAAAGTCGGTCTTGGGGAGGGATACGGCCAGATATCCAAAGCAGGCTTAGCTGTATAGTTGAAACAGGGAACCTCTCTGATTCCTCCTTTTCTTGCGAGCTTCTTTAAGTCATCATTGGGCAAAACGAAGATACTCTTTTTGCTGCTTTTGGTGACAAATTTCCTGTAAGAGGGCAAAGCTGTTCCAGAACGAGTCTTTTTAGGCCTTGAAAATTTCATTAGCTTCACTTTGTCTCTTGTAGAATACTCCTTGCTGACTGTCATAGAAGTCACCAAAGTTCCTCCTGGAGTAGTTAAGGAATCAGTCACAGTTGTTGTAACCACAGTTTTACTATGCTCCTTCACACAAATGACATCGACATTGCTATCCGTATTGGGAGTGGTAAGCTTTTTTACAGTGGTAGTAGTGGTGGTAGTTACGGTGGATACCGAACAGTTTTCAGCAGATGATACCACAGTTTCTGTATCATCTTTGACTGCTGACACCTCTGATACTTTATAAACAGTTTTGGATTCTGTAGAAACAGTTGATGTTGTGGTCACTTCTGTAACAACTGCTTTTACCATGTTTTCTCCATTGACATTTTCAACTTTACTGTGCGTCTGTAATCCATTCTGATCTGCAAAATCATTACTTAAGCTAGATTCCTCACATGAAGTCACAGGAGATAGAGTAGATTTCTTGACACAAGGTGACTCAACATCCATGCATTCTGTTTCCCTATATGCACTGTTTTCATTACAGGAATCAAGGCTTGGAATTGATGTTTCATCAACTGGACTAGATCTTTCAGGAGAACATTGTTTCCTTTCGGTATGATAAGCAGACTGACATGTTTTATCTTGAGATAAATCATGCTCTTTAGAATCACTGTCTGTACCCACCGAATTCTGTAACACCTCACTGTCCATATTTTCTTTCTCACCCGTATCTTCAGCAGCGACATCACCGTTCATGAATGGTTTTACAGGTTCACTGGATGAAAATGGTTTAACCAGAGGATTATTTTGATTGAGATTACTGACTTTAGAGTCAATATTACTCTCTGTTTGTGCAATGGTCTCTCGTTTTAAGAACTCTTCGTCTGAAAATACCTTAAAATCATTTTCTTTTCCATTAATCTGAAATGCTGCTGGCTTTTCTTTCTCTGTATGGGCATCCAATTCTCCATTTTTATTATTATTTTTATCAGCCATGATTTTAATTTGGTCAAAGCATTTATTCACAGAACTTGGAGGGCCACACTTTGTTTGGTCTGGTTTTTCACCATTTGTTTCAGTGATCTGAGACTTCAGTACTTCATCCATAATACTTTCCTCAATCATGTCAGGAATTTGAGCTTCAAATGCCTTTTCTGAAATGAGTTCAGTGTGTAAGGATTTTAGGTCTCCAAGAGTTTGCTTTGGATTTAATCCAATTTTGGGTTCAGACGATTCTTCACTGCTTTTCAAAAGACTGTCCTTTGCTTGTGTGGAAACCATGCCAGAACGATCTTTTAAACTAGAAGTTTCGACAGAATCGCAGTCTTGTTTTTCAGGTTTTATTGTTTCATTTCCTCTCACAGCCAAAGATGAAGGATCTTCTTCACCTCTACTTTCTGTTATCACTGGCTGCACAATGTTTTCACACTGAGACACTGTGGCATCTGTTTGCTTTGAACACTCTGCATTGTCCTCTAAGATGCCACATTTATTTGTGTCTTTGTTTTCCACTGCTTTGGAGTCAGCAGTAGCAGAACTGGGAGCATCTTTCTCTTTACTCTGTACCTGAGTTTCATCTATGTCCATTGGTTCAGAAACACTTTCATTACTACCCTTTGCTACCAGACTCTGAGTATCTGGGCAATGAATGGAGGTTACATCCCCATCTCCCTCTAAAAGTCTGTTCAAGCAAGGCAAAGATTGGGCTGATCCACTGGTTTTGATAAAGTGCAGGTTGCTAGGCGACAGGTGATCTTTAGTGGAACCTTCAGTCTGATCTGTACCCAAAACATCAATTCTGTTTTGGGCAGTTCCATCCATTTGCCTTCCGTCCCCTGCCTTGACTATTTGTATCTCACCCACATTCTTCTGTGCAAGAGACTTACAACCTGAAGAGTTAGCACCAGCTTTAAGCTTTATTCTTTCTAACCGCTGCTTTTCTTCCAGTGTGAACTGTTTTACTCTTCTTTCTAGCAATCCATCTAGTTTTGAAGATTTTACTTTCTTTTTATAATATGTCCTTAAATGAAAGCCTTCACTAACATTGATTAAATCAACAGTGATTGGGATTTCTTCATATTTTGCAGAGGTATCCATTTTGACTTCATCAACCTCCATGGGTTCTTCTTTGATGCCTTTATCATTTGCATTCACTTCTTTTTCCTCTGTAAAGAACAACATTGATGAAAGGCATTTTTGTATTTTACATATGCATCTGTAAGTCAATATTATGGCTGAGTATGTAATCTATACATGTATTCTACTACAGTCATGTGAAAAAGAAAGTACGCTCTCTTTGAATTATATGTTTTTACTTATCAAAACATAATAAAAATTACCTGGTCCTTAGCAGGTCTGAAAATTAGGTAAATACAACTTCAGGTGAACAATAACATATGACACATCAGACTGTGTCATGATTTATTTTACAAAAATAAAGCCAAATTGGAGAAGCTATGTGTGAAAAACAAAGTACACCTTATGATTCAATCACCTGTAAAACCACCTTCAGCAGCAATAATTTGAAGTAACTGTTTTCTGTATGACTTTATAAGTCTCTCACATAATTGTGGAGGCTCCGGCCCATCCTTCTTTCCAATGTTGTATCAGTTCACTGAGGTTTGTGGGCATTCGTTTATGCACAGCTCTTTTAAGGTACTGCCACAGCATTTCAATCAGGTTGATGTCTGGACTCTGAGCCATTGCAAAACCTTGTTTCTTTTCTTTTTCAGCCATTCAGTTGAAGCTATGCTCATATGTTTTGGATCATTGTCCTGTTGCGTGACCCAATTTTGGCCAAGCTTTCAGTGTTGGACAGATGGCTTCACATTTGATCCTAGAGCACTTTATTATAAAGAAGAGTTCATGGCTGACTTAATTACTGCAAGGTGCCCAAGTCCTGTGGCTCTAAAACAAGCCCAAACCATCAGCTCTCTACCATTGTGCTTGACAGTTAGTAAGAGGGGTTTGTGCTGATATACTGTGTTAGGTTTTTGCCAAACGTGGAGCTGTGCATTATGGCCAAATATCTCCACTATGATCTTGTCTATCCGCAGGACACTGTTCCAGAAGTCTTGCGGTTTGTCCAGCTGCAACTTTGCAAATGTAAGCTGTGCTGCCAAGTTCTTTTTAGAGAGAAGAGTCTTTTTTTCTGGCAACCCTTCCTAACAAACCATACTTGTTCAGTCTTTTTCTAATCGTACTGTCATGAACCCTAACATTTAACATGCTAACTGAGACATGTAGAACCTGAGATATAACTCTTGTGTTTTTTTCAATTTCCGTAAGCACTGCATGGTCTGATCTTGGGGTGAATTTGCTTGGATGTCCACTCCTAGGGAGATTGGCAACTGTCTTGAATGTTTTCCTCTTGTGAATAATCTTCCTCAATGCAGAATGATGCACTTTAAATTGTTTGGAAAATGTCCTAGAACCCCTCCCAGATTGATGGGCAGCAACAACTGCTTCTCTATGATCATTGCTGATGGTTTTGTTCCTTGGCATTGTGTTAAAACACACCTGAATGACCAGCAAACTGCTTAAACTTTGGCTTTTATAGGGGTGATCACACTTAGTGATGATCAATTACTCAAGAAATTACTCAAGAGTATTTGGTTAACAGCACCTGGCTGCTGCTTAGCCTCTGAATTCCTATGGAAGCAGTAAGGGTGTACTTAGTTTTTCACACATGGCTTCTCCATTTTGGCTTTATTTTTGTAAAATAAAGCATGACGTGGTGTAATACGTCACATGTTGTTGTTCATTCCATTTTGGCTTTATTTTACTTTCAGACCTGCTAAGACCAGATGAATTTTATTATGTCCTGATATGTAAGGTAAAGGTTCCCCTTGACAATTTTTGTCCAGTCATTTTCGACTCTAGGGGGCGGTGCTCATCCCCATTTCCAAGCCATAGAGCCAGCGTTTTGTCCGAAGACAATCTTCCGTGGTCACATGGTCAGTGCGACTTAGACACGGAACGCTGTTACCTTCTCACCAAGGTGGTCCCTATTTATCTACTTGCATTTGCATGCTTTAGAACCGCTAGGTTGGCGGGAGTCCTGATATGTAAAACCACTGAATTCAAAGAGGGTGTACCTTCTTTTTCATATGACTATACACGTATGAACAAGATGCTACTGCAATAAAAAAAGCAATATTGCTTTATAGGTGTTTCCCAATTGATTATATCACTCATAAAGACATACTATTAGCCTACAAATGTGAGGACAATCCAGGGAATACATGAAAAACTTTATACTTTCTTGGAGCATAATAAAAGTTGATCAATCCCAGTCAAACAGACTAAATTGACCTAAACAACTTAACATGTTTAGATTCCAAGTAAAATCTTTAACAAAACAATAAAAGATCAAGCTTTTGATAGGAAAACATGTCCTGTCATTTTCAGGCCATTTGTATCCTGAAGATGACAGGACGTGTTCTTCTGTTGAAAGCTTGATATTTTATTGTGTGTTTTTTTTTTTTTACTTGGAAGCTCAACCCATTAAGTTGTTTGGGTCAATTTTTGTCTCATACATGTATGCAGATCCATGTGGGCTCCTGGTCAATAAGAGGGGCCTGAAGTATGGTTTGTTTCAAAGGCAGACAGGAGAGAAGAGGTTTCTACTTCAGTCTATCTGTGAAATGTAAAAAAGACCAGAGTGAGCTCAGACCACCTACACTCCCTCGGTGAATGTTGTTTTTCATATATTATTATCATGGGAGCTGAAATCTTCCATTCTCTCTATCACAGCTTTGTTGGAGTTGGTTTTTAAGAATGAGGATGGATCAGGAAGGATGAAGGAAGGGCCAAGCTACAGTGTGATCTTCTCTGGTGGTTCCCCTTTAGAAGGTGGAGCAGAGAGACCATGCAGAAGACCACCTTTTGATTCCAGATGGTAGTCAGGGCTGATGGTGCAGAAGGGTATGCTACTTCCCTCTGCTGCCACTAGGACTAGCAGCAGCTGTAACCATCCATGATGTGGCCTTTTTACTTCAAATGGTTATTGTTTCATGTGGTTAGTTCTATGCTCAGTCCATTTAAGCTTGGCCAACAAATACAATACATTGAAACAACAATAAAATACATTAAAACAACACTAACACATTAAATCTGTCTGACAAAACAGAATAGACAACCAAGGTAACACCAGCAGAGAATAATATAACTCAACATACAACAGCTAGTTAGAAACAACAGAAGCACTAAAATGCCTGAGAGTGTGAAAAGTTCTTCAACAGGTATCCTAAAAACCTATAATATGTGCATCAGACAAGCCTTTTTGGGGAACTTAAGGTACTTTACACTTGCAAACTCAGCACCATTTTTAAATCCTCCCCTGGACTGATTTTAGGCATTCCACTTTACATATAAATCTTTTGTACTACACAGAATTGACAGATAAAGTAACTACACGTAAAAATGGAGAAAATGCCTATTACCTTCTTCTGCATGATCTGATTTTTCCAAACTCTTATTGACATCCGTTTTTTCTTCATTCAGCTCATTTTCCTGCTTGGTGCAATTTTTCTTTGTGGTCTCGGAATTTTCTGTTTCTTTTTGGTCCTTTTTGTGTGGCTCACGGGTGTTTTTTATTCTGTCTTTGAAAGAACCATGCTCAACTTTTATTTTTGATGGATTTTTCCTTTTATCCAGTTCGTGCTGTTTTTCTGTGGTGGCAGTAGTATTCTTTGCTGATAAGAAATAATGTACTTATTTATAGAATTTCTATCCACCTGTCAGTATATCCTCAGGGTGGCACATATATCAAAAGTATTCAGAGTTACTGGATTTTTTAATTCCTTAACACTGTTTTTTAACCATGTCTAAGTCTTACCCTAGAAGTTTGAAATATAACTAGTAAAAGCAAAATTCAAAACACATACTAGCACGTTCTTCTCTATTCCCATTTGAAGAAGAAGAAGAAAAAGAAATAAAGTAAAATGAGCCAGTGGGAAGAATCCAATTGGTTAATTATAACAGCATAAATGTAACATGCAACAGTGAATTTATGAAAATTGATGCTTGGATTCCTCACCACTTGCCATCTGCTTGAATTGGAGCACAATGTGTGATAAAAGCAGCAAATCATTACAGTGGACCCTTGACTTACAGACGGCTTGACTTACAGACTTTTTGAGTTACAGACTTCTCTGGCCGCAAAATTTAGGTTTGACTTGCAGACTGAGATTTGACTTACAGACCAGAAAAAAACCAAAATGGAACAAAAACGGCCTGTTACGGGATTAATCGGTTTTCAATGCACTGTAGGTCAATGGAGACTTGACTTACAGACTTTTTGACTTGAGAACCGCCTTCCAATACGGATTAAGTTCTCAAGTCAAGACCCCACTGTAATTAGCAGCAATTCACCACTATAATTTATGCCACTGTACTTATGTCTGCATAACTAACCACCAGAATTCTAGCCACCTTCAAATCAGAGGAAAACATTTAGCATACTGAATTAGATCTAGACATGATGTTCCAAGAAGGAAAATCTCATGTTTCACTGAAACAACTCCAGTTCACTGCAGATTCTCACTAAGGAAAAAAGGCATTAATTTTGACCATTTCTCCTACCACTGCATGGTCAGTGTCATTTCCGCACAGCAGGTGGGTCACATAACCCCATACAGTAGACTTTCCAATCCCCTTTGGTTTCAGGAATGTTGCTGGACACCAATTTAACAGATTAACGAAGAGCCACTGCAGTATTGTCATTAAGGTACTGGACATGGGCAATCCAGGTTCAAGGTGCTACTCAGCTGGTTAACTCACTGGATGACCCTGGATCAGTCAATCTTTCTCAGCTTAATTTACCTTACAGTGTTGTGGGGAAGAGATCCACACACGACACACTTTGAGCTCATTCAAGCAAAAATAGAATATTAAAGTATATACTGCAAATAATAACAATAATAGCAACCACAATAATGAAAATAACAATGGGCCAGATTATGATTTATGTTTGTGTAAGGTTTGCATAACTTGCCATTGCTAACTGCAGCTAAGTGGTCAGGTGACAGAACACAACTCAGTTGTGCAATCAGGTGCACAACCAGGCATGCAATCAAGACATGCCCTGGCACCCCATCAATTAACCACCATCAAGCATGGCAAGTTACGCAAACCTTATTGGAAGATCAATAGGATTCGGTTGACAGATACAAACTTATTTTTTATTTACTAAATTAAAATAGAGAATAAATTATTCAATTACTCCAGAAATCAGTTATGAAAACTACTTCCCACTATTTCTGGCTGCATAAGTTAATATGCAAAGATAAATTAAACACATGTACATAAATTTAACATTAGCAATTTTCAGAGAAAAGTTCTTCATAGCTATCTGTCTAATACAGTGGTTTTCCTGATTTACACAGAAAGTGAGGAAAGTAGCAAGGCTATAGACTGAAAACAACTTCTATAGAGGAAAGTGTTGTATTTGATACAGCTAACGGAACACATAACTGATTCTACTTCAAAACAAGGATTTAAAACACTCACCAGGTAGCAATTTTCTGTAACTGACATTAGTATTTCCCGGTAACCTGGGCACAAATCTATGAACATGAGTTTTGCTAATCCAGATCCATCCACCATATCCTGTTACTCTGTATTCTTCCCCTTTTTGTTTCCAAACCTGTTAAGCATTTTCAAATACATTTAATTGCAATACAATTTACAGTACTATCCTCAATTTATTAATTTATTAGTTAACATTTTACCCCACCTTTCTCATGAAAAGAACCCAAAGCAGCTTACATCATAAAAAGGACAATATTTAAAAGCTAAACATATACAAGTACACAAATATTAAAAAAGAATTAAGCAAGTATTACGTTTAAAATGGTAAATAAAATCAACACATCAATTCAAAATCAATGATATTTAAACAAATGCTACAGACACTTGTCAGTAGGCATGTTCTAACCCAAACTAGCAATAATCATGCATAAAGAAGAGATGTGGCTGCCAATGGAACCCATTCCTGCCAAAATCACCAATGCACCCATAACACACATGATTCTACACAGCAGAATGGAAAAAAAGGCAAAGCCAAGGCAAACGACATGTATTCTACCTAGCTAATTTCTAAAATTCCCACAGTCTTTTAAACACGGGTACTTTTCCCAACTTAAACACACACACACCCCTTATCAACTTTTCAACAGTTTATCATTTACAACTACAATCTATTTTTTCTGCAATGAGCTTTGCGTAGTGTGTAGGCATGGGATTTTCTGATTTTATTTTTCACTACAACTCCCAGACGTACAAGCTGGATTTTGAAGGGGCAGAAGAACTAGAGACCGAATTGCTAACATGCATTGGATTATGGAGAAAGCCAGAGAGTTCAAAAAAACATCTGCTTCTGCTTCATTGACTGTGCAAAAGCCTTTGACTGTGTGGACCACAGCAAACTATGGCAAGTTCTTAAAGAAATGGGAGTGCCTCACCACCTTATCTATCTCCTGAGAAACCTATATGTGGGACAGGAAGCAACAGTTAGAACTGGATATGGAACAACTGACTGGTTCAAAATTGGGAAAGGAATACGACAAGGCTGTATATTGTCCCCCAGCTTATTCAACTTATATGCAGAATACATTATGCGAAAGGCTGGACTGGAGGAATCCCAAACGGGAAATAGGATTGCAGGAAGAAATATTAACAACCTCAGATATGCAGATGATACCACTCTGATCACAGAAAGTGAGGAAGAATTAAAGAACCTCGTAATCAGGGTGAAAAAGGAGAGGGGAAAAAATGGTCTGAAGCTTAACATCAAAAAAAACTAAGATCATGGCCACAGGCCCCATCACCTCCTGAAAGTGAGCCACAGGTATTGCCTTTTCTTCATTACAAAGACTGAACAGCAGGCTTTTTTCTCCGTCACTGAAAACTGTTACAGTGGTAAAATATAATCAGACTCTGGCTATATCCCTACTACTGTTACTGGACACAAGTGCCTGTGTATAAGAACAACTGATGAACTGAAACACTGGGAAATAAGTACCCTCATGGATTATTTTTGGATGGCTACATTTTATTACCAAGTTGATTACCATTCCTTCATCCAACTCTGTCCTTTAGAGAAATGCTCCACTATATACAAGATAGTGTATATTTTGGAATTTCAAGTCAGTGGAAATGGATTAAAACAACCTGCATAAAAACGGAATTATTTTTCCTACCTGACAAACAACTTCGAGATTAATTGCCACAACATGCTGTATTAAATGTATTAAATGAAGTTGGATGTGGTCAAGGGGAAATTAAGAAACTGGATAAGCATGACTTTTCCGTAACACCTGGTTGTGAAGCCAGAGGTCAGGATTCCCTATTGTGTCCTGTAGGAGAAAAGCCAACCTGTGTGTTCCTGGACAAGCCACACAGTCCTGGAAGAAGGAAATGTCAACCACTTCTGAATGATCTATACTTAGAAAACCTTGGGAAGGGTTACTGTAAGGGGAAATTAAGAAACTGGATAAGCATGACTTTTCCGTAACACCTGGTTGTGAAGCCAGAGGTCAGGATTCCCTATTGTGTCCTGTAGGAGAAAAGCCAACCTGTGTGTTCCTGGACAAGCCACACAGTCCTGGAAGAAGGAAATGTCAACCACTTCTGAATGATCTATACTTAGAAAACCTTGGGAAGGGTTACTGTTGACTTGACTTGTCAACCACTTCTGAATGATCTATACTTCTAAAACCCTGGGAAGGGTTACTGTTAAGTCAAAACTGACTTGACAACACATAATTATCACTGTTATAGATATTGATATGTATACAATATCCTCTATGTAAAACCCTGGGAAGGGTTACTGTTAAGTCAAAACTGACTTGACAACACATAATTATCACTGTTATAGATATTGATACATATACAATATCCTCTATGTGTTAAAAAGAAATATTGTTTTAAGTTCAATTAAAGAGCAGCACCAAACAGATTTTCCTTTTTCCTTTTTTTAAAGATTTCTATGAAGAAGCAGTACCTGGTGTTTTATAGGAAATGTGTATTTCACCCATGTTGCTTGCTGCATTGTTTCCTCTTCCTCTTGCTTTCTTTCTTTCTTTTTGATCTTCTCCTTATCTTCTCTTTCAATAGCTGTCATTCTGCGTAACCTAATTACAAAACACACACTATGATGCATACTACTTCGGTTCAGTATTCTTCTGTGTTTTTTTTTTTTGAACCAATTAACATGGTTAAGAGAGGCACCACTGTATAAGCTTTCAGAGTACTTCAGCACTATTGAGATGAATTCAACAGAGGTCTAACCTTCATGAATGCATTGCAATGGGGAGGGCAGAAAGGGATAGTCAGGTTTCAGTGTACCTGCCTCAGTTCCCATAACAATCATTTTCACACACTCAATATTTGCACAAAATTAAACTGTTTCTTATACAATAAGAAACATAGACATGTTTCGCACACATAGACATCTTACCTTGTATGTCCCAAAGACTCTCTCCAGACTGGCAACATCACAACTGGTTTAATTGCACATTCCAATATAGCCAAAGCCAGTGCAAATTCTCTAGGTTTGCTACACATCTGAACAGCTTTGATCCAGTTAGACCTATAGCCAAGGAACGAATGAAACACTTTAAGCTTGCTACATGTAGTCAGCTGTCTGTCTCTGTTGACTGCAAATCATATTGAATCAACAATGATTAAAACTATCTTAATATCACTAAAGCAACCATGTCAGTAACATAATAAAATTTAAAATCAAATGCTACCTCACTTCTTTCAAGTACTCTTTGCTACAATATCTTTGTTTCTATATGCATGTGTAACTCAGGCTGCAAGTATAGTGAAAAAATACAAAACTAACAACTATATCTTACTTCATTTGTTTATTTACTTATTTGTTATATCTGCTCTCTAAAAAGCACAAGGCAGTATATAGGGTTTTCCTCCTCCCCACATTCTCATCACAATAACTCTATGAAATAGTTTACGTATATTAAGGCTTCTCAGATTAAATTAAGAAAGTGTGACTGGCCCATGACCACTGGAGAGTTACATGGCCCTGTGGGTTTGAATCCAAAGCTCCAAAGTTCTACCCTAGCAGACTTAATATACCACACTGCCTCCAATTCCACTGCCTCCCACTCAGAATTTTCCATTATGAACTCTTTAGGGCAGGAATCCACCCAAAGCACCATAAATGCTGACAGTACTATAAAATTAATCAAATACTGATTGAAAACACGAAGGAATTCACCTATGTGAAGCCCAGTTGGGGTGAAGGAATGAAGACGGGATGTTGTTCTCCAGCTGAATAATTGTTAGCCTCAGGGTAGATATTGTTAGCACCTTCGATCCATGGACAGAGCCATTCCATTTGAACTCTCCAGCAGGGCTCAGACAAAACTTATGAGAGAGGTGCCGCCTCTTGTCATGATCTTCCCGGTGCTGATGTTTGTTTAATGCAAAAGAATTGGTGGCATACTGATTGTGGTATACACGATACTTCCCTTCTTGACCCAGCTTAAAATAATTGTTGATGTTTCCTTTCATCACTATTTCTTTCTTGGTGTTCAGTCGGGAGATTTCCCCTTGGGAATTGACCACAAGCACCTTAATTCAAGTAAAAACAAAAACAAAAATTAAACAGACACCCATTTTAAAACTACGTATCTGTTGAGACTTAGAATTCAGTTTTTTTTCAAGAGCTGAAACTTTGTTATCCTTAATAACTATAGGGAGCAGGGGAATGCACAATTTTTTATTTCCAGCTCTTTTTTTGTGCTGGGCAAGTGCGGGGAAGCTTCTAAGACCCAGCGCCAATCAGCTGTGAGGCGGGGAGGGCAGGAGCAGAGAAGAGTACAAAATGGCTGCCACTTCCCTGCTGGGTCCGGGCTCCAATGGTGCTGGGAAGACTGGCAGGGGACCTCTGAAAGCGGCGTTGGGCGGGGGCTGCCTCCCCACCCCCGCTCCCATCGCAAAGTGGGCCCTGCTTCGTCTTGTGAGGCAGGGCCATAGGAACATTCATCTTGCGCGGCACCAAAACCCTAGCCAGACCCATTCAGCTAGTAGGTTTTTCGTGCCACAAGGTGTTTGTCTTGCGAGGCACCACTGTATATTGGTAGAAATCCTGTTGCTTAGTATATTAAGTTGCAACGAAACCATCTGCAACTTACTATGGTAAGAAACAGGATTTCAGCAACGTTATCATAAATCTGTCACTTCCGGGTACCATACAGTTTTATTGTCTTTGCTACACTTGAACCAGTTGCCCATGTTTTGCCAACATTCTTCAAAGAGGACTCTGTAAATAATAAGTTTCAAAATTATCACAAACCTCTTTGCCTTCTTTAAATAGCTTATTTGCTTCATGTGCTGCTGCAGCAACCTGCTGACTTTTCAACTGGCTGAGTTTGCTATCTGGATTTCGTAACCTGGTGACCATTCGTGTGGAGCCTGGAGTAATTCTTCCTGTGTTTGGAGAGTCACTTCTTTCACCATTAGATTTATCCCCTGTTAATATTTAAACACAGAAAGCCAAATAATTACAAGACATTTCAGAAAATATAGACATACATTTTAAAAATGAAGACTAGGAATCAGCAGCAACTGTTTTACATTTACCTAGCTCTTCTGAACTCTGTGATCCCACATCAATATTCTCCACTTCATCAAATGTCTTCTCAACCTCACTCTTAACAGAATTTGGTTCATTGCTACTGCTGTTCTCTGGATCAGACAGGAGTGCTTCAGCAGATATATCAAGGCTCTGGTTGGAACCTGTCTTTGCTGTTTCACCTGCAAAAGATAATTATTTTAGGTACTTAGTACTAACTCAAAAATACTTCAAAAAGATGACAATCCCAATATCAGAAGGAGTGGAAGTGTCAATAACAATAAAAAGTACATTCAGGAAAAACAGAAGTTGATAATTTTTTAAAAATCGAAGTAATTAACAAATGGCATAACATACCTTTCATTTTATGAACAGACACAAACCTACGTATTCAGAGTTTCTGTAGGAGAAAGCCTCTGGCTTTTAGTTCTAACAGAACTTTTAGTTCTAACAGTTAAAGATGTCATTTGTGCACTTCAGGAATTGAGTAAGAACTAAAGCATGCTTTCCACAAATTGAAATGCTGATTTCCTCCCTCAACCTGCACTGTAATGAGAAGGTCTAAGTTTGTGTATTCTCGCTAAGATTAAGAACTCATGGTACACTGACTGTAGTACACAGGGAAGGGGTTAGAAGAGGACTTTTCACAAAGGTGTATTTGCTTCTATAGATGTATATAATTTGCTTTGTGATGGAAATATGTAGGCAGGGACATATAGAAAAGATTAACCAACACACTTATGGAATCACATGTAAGTATAAAGTCAGGGAGGAAAATATCAACTACTAATTATTATGGAGAGAAGTAAACAGTGCAGTCTGTGCTGGTTAAATACTTCTATTCAACTTATTAGAAGTAACCTGGAGTTGAGGAATACCAAACCAACAGACAGAATGGAAAATGACACTATACAATTCACAACAAGATTCCAAATGAATGGTGACAAAACTGCTTGTTCAAGTCATGCTCAAGAGGTTGGGTTGGAAAAGTCCATATAATTAGCCTCCTCCTGTGGCTGTGATATTCACACAGATAATGCAGCCATACAGAATAGCATTATAAGGACCCACTTATCTTACTGATCTCTATACATCATAGAAGTAAACAGTGCAGTCTGCAAAAGTGCTGCAGTTTTGTACAATCTTACTGCACACATCAGGTTAAATCCAGCGATTTAAGAGGTGAATGGCAGATGATTTCCCTAATCACTCCTCCTCCCAGCAGTGCTCTGAAAATCCTCTTTAAAAGGACATCAACCCTACTAAATCAAGTGGACAATACCATGGAGAGCCAAATGAAATGAAGCTCCCACCAGTTAATTTTCAGTAATTTTTATCACCACTCCTGCTCCACCAACTTTAGAAGGGTGCCTGGCTTCTGGGAAAGTTTTCTGCTTTTGCCCACTTACATCTGCAGACATCTCTCTAGAGCCAATTGTTTTTTATAGGTACATCTTATATAGCCAGTGTTTTAAGGTTCCCTTTTGTCCACTTTGTTTAGCTACTCCTGAAAACTGTTGATCAAAGTGTAGCTGTGTTCTGATAAAGGAAGCATTCATGTTTTCCAAATAAAGGCATTGTTAAAGAGCATAAAAATAAGACCAAACTCTTATATATAAGAGCCTGCAATCGTAGCCACAGCAGCACAGGTACTTCAACTGCTGACCAGCAGGACCATCTGGTCTAAAGAGCTCATGCAGTGCCAAATTAGCTTATCAAATTTCACACTACAAGGAAATTCCATTCTGATACAGTATGAGAAACTGAAATTTACACACAAACCAAAAGGAAGCAGAAATGGGTGACAGGAAGGTGATTTTCAAGCCCCTATGAAATGTTGAATTTAAGACACCGTGATTAAATCAGAACAATGAAAAACACAGTAACCAAAAATGTCTACCACCATTAAACAACTGGTCAAACCATCTCAAAACACCCTGGCTTGTCTATTCTAACATTTACCTCTCCTTCCTTCACACAGCCAGGAAGACTTCTGAAGCTTTAGGCAAAAGTTCAATTGTGTAGACCTGCTGGATTCCACTGCTTCTCTGGTGGAAACAGAAAGAAACTACTCTCTCCCTCCACAGCCCCCACCTTGTGACACCCCCCCCAAAAAAACTGCTAATAATTACTGGGAAGCCCTCTATGGAAAATTGCTGGCACCGGCAAGAGCTATAGCAATGACCAGAAGCATCAGAATCTAGAGGCAGTATAATGCTGGATTCTGACCATCATTACCAGTTTTAATTTAACACAATATGCAGTATTATCTGAATAGAGGATTGCAATTAACATTACCTGATTCAGTCCAACAAGTCAACTTCAGAAGCTGCCATTTTATTAGATTACTGGTAAGCAACATTTACTGCCCCCAATGTTCCCTCAACAAGTCAACTTCAGAAGCTGCCATTTTTATTAGATTACTGGTAAGCACCATTTACTGCCCCCTAAGGTGTATGCGTGTGCACACAGAGCTCCATGGCACCGCACAGTGGCAGCTGGTATCGATGCCTTACTTCTACGTTTCCGATGAAACCCTGTTCCTCACCCACAGACAGGCAAGGCTCCCGTGCAGCGGGGATGAGAATTACAAGGAATGTTGACTGTCCCACATGGAACCACAAATAGTGTTCAACAAAAATCAAAAAGAAAAACTTGGGAAGGGATAAGGGCCATAGATCAGGCTTGTGCCGGCTATACTAAACCATGTATAGCCAGCACCATATTGGTCATGGCCAATATGATTCAAAGGACATTTTTTACCACTGTACAAGAGACTCTTACCAATGCAAGACTTTATGATAAACAAATATAATAACACATACCATGAACATCTATACTGAATATAAACCAATTGTAAACATTTGAAGGACAAAGAAACAACACAATATTTGTGTTAGATGTAGAATACAAATAGCTCAATCAAAGACATCCCCATCACAGAGTGAGGGATGGCACTGCAAACAATCAGCAGTAATAATATACATTGTAAAAAGTATTACCTGATATCCATTTACAGAACCATTATTACCCTCTAATTTACAGAGACATTACTATAGTGGTATCTGTACCTGAGACATCTTTAAGAGGCTCTGATGCCAGACTCTTGTTTCCCCCATTATCAACAAGGACTTCCGAGTCACTTTCCATTGTGTTCTTCCCTTCAGAAGTATTAGCCTCTCCCCCAGAAGAACTCGTGATGTTGCCCCCACCAGGCGATGTCACCGAGGTCCCTTTATCTCCATCTGTTAGATCTGCTTTCAAACGCACAACAAAGCGTCATAGATATTTTTAAAGCCAGCTTTAAAGGACATATGTTATCCATAGAGAAATTAAGTCCATAAAAACAACTTCTACGAAATCAAATACGTAGTATCATTAGAGAGTGATAATTAATCATAATACCTAACAATAATTAATAATTAATACCTAATAATAAATGCTAACAATTTTTGAAGTATTTAAGTGACTAACAAATACATTGATTCAAGCAAGTGTCATCTTTACCTTCTTTACTTTCTTTTTCAGAAATTTCCTGCTGTGGCATTTCTTTGTTTATATCTGACTGTTGGTCTGAAACTTCCTCTTTGCTAATATCAGTCTCTGCACTATCTTTATTCTCAACATTAGCTTTTTCTTTTTCCGTCTCATCATCCACTGAGCTTTTATCCTCCAACGTTTCACCCCTTCTGACTCTGGCTGCTTCCAGAATTTCTTCTACAGCAAAAAAACAGACAAGAGAGACCACGTTGAACTTTCTCAAAGTTGGGTAGATTTAGCAGGGTGCTTGTTCCCAAGGTACCATCAACAGATTCACTGACAGAAAGTACACTAGCCAAATTCAGATTTGTGCTATCCTGAATGCAAATGTATTTCTGCTTTACTTCTCCATGTTAGGGGTCAGACATTACACAATGGCACCATAGAATCTAATCTGATAGAATAAAAAGATGATTTTTGTACAGAGGTCAAGCAATATAGATTAGCTCAGAATAATGCCAGATAGCATGTGTAATTACCTTGTTAGTTAGTTAGTTAGTTAGTTAGTTAGTTAGTTAGTTAGTTAGTTAGTTAGTTAGTTAGTTAGTTAGTTAGTTAGTTAGTTAGTTAGTTAGTTAGTTAGTTAGTTAGTTAGTTAGTTAGTTAGTTAGTTAGTTAGTTAGTTAGTTAGTTAGTTAGTTAGTTAGTTAGTTAGTTAGTTAGTTAGTTAGTTAGTTAGTTAGTTAGTTAGTTAGTTAGTTAGTTAGTTAGTTAGTTAGTTAGTTAGTTAGTTAGTTAGTTAGTTAGTTAGTTAGTTAGTTAGTTAGTTAGTTAGTTAGTTAGTTAGTTAGTTAGTTAGTTAGTTAGTTAGTTATACACACACACACACCCCGCCCATCTAGACCAAAGGCCTACTCTGGGTGGCATATTTATCTATACTATTTTATATTGAAGATACTGGAACAGTGCACAATGGATTAACATGAGTAAAATATAAAAATTACAATAAAAACACGCTAGCATTTATTAGTAAGGGAATATTCATTTAAAAACAGCAAAAACAGAGAAGTGTGCTTGCATCCTAAATTCATTTTCAGCACCATCCCACAGAATGGAAGATGATATACTGAATGCCCTGACTACGCAAAAGCCTTTGACTGTGTGGACCACAGCAAACTATGGCAAGTTCTTAAAGAAATGGGAGTGCCTCACCACCTTATCTACCTCCTGAGAAATCTGTACGTGGGACAGGAAGCAACAGTTGGAACTGGATATGGAACAACTGACTGGTTCAAAATTGGGAAAGGACTACAACAAGGCTGTATATTGTCTCCCTGCTTATTTAACTTATATGTAGAATACATCATGTGAAAAGCTGAACTGGAGGAATCCCAAGTCGGAATTAAGACTGCTGGAAGAAATATCAACAACCTGTGATATGCAGATGATACCACTCTGGTGACAAAAAGTGAGGAGGAATTAAAGAATGTCTTAATGACGGTGAAAGAGGAGAGCACAAAAAATGGTCTGAAGCTCAACATCAAAAAATCATGGCCACTGGCCCCATCACCTCCTGGCAAATCGAAAGGGAAGATATAGAGGCAGTGACAGATTTTACTTTCTTGGGCTCCATGATCACTGCAGATG